CGGAACTATTGTTAAACGCGAACGCAGCTATATAACGGCGTTCGTATTATACGCGCGTGCATTAAATTTCGCGCCGTCGTCGTCGTGGCGGTGGTGGGTGGTGGCGGCGGTGATCGTCGTCGTCGTCGTACAAGGGTAATAATATAATGCGAATCTCGAAAAATTCACAACATCTGGTGTTGGCAATAAAACGGCCGGGGACGTTGCACTGTTATACATACCGTTAAATCGGTTTCCGCGGGCGCGGGAAACCTCAAAATCGCGTACGCGATACGAAACGATACGTGTACCCGAATATAACAGCAATAATATTACGTTGCCCGCCCCCCCCCCACGTCAATGTTCATAATTTATCGTCGTTTACGCTGTTTTACGCGTTGCGACCGCCGTATTTTATATTCGAAATAGGTACCCGCGCGCCGGGAGAACTCATTTCGCGCCGTACGCGACGACAACGGCGCCGCCGTTTTTCCCGATAAACAATTTTCGGACCGGCGTGCATACGTATTGTAATACGCGTGTATGAAATATTATACGCGCGCGCCGAGTTATTACACTCGCGAATGCGGAACACGGGACAGTTAAACACAATATAGCGAGCGGAGGAGCCGCGCGGATGAGAAATCGAACGCGCGCCCCCCCCGTGATTTGTTTGTGCGGAGTGTTTTTATTCTCCCCTGTCTCAGATTTCCCGCGTTCGTTTCGCGACACTGCGGCGCAGCACGCGAGAAATTATTAACGAAACGCCGCCGGACGGCGGTCGTGCCGCAGCGCTGGCTGCAGCGAACGGCCCGCGAGCGTTCAAGTCCGCCGGCCCCGCGACGCGTTACCGAACAAATCGACAGCGGTTCGTTTTTAATCTAACGTTTAAAGAACACGACGGAAAAAAAAAAAAAAAAACGATATTTTCATATTTACGTTGGTGCGCGGTTGAATGCCCGGTCAGGCACGACCAGTGACTGGATTTACATTTTTTTTTTTTTACGGGTTTCACATCATTTTTAACACCGTTCCGAGTACCCGACGGTAACAGTTTTTACAATTATTTACGTGTGGTTCGACTGTTAAACTCGCGGTCATGTCGATGAAAATCCGATCAATTACGTACTTTCAGTCTGTCCATACATTATTAACTACAGACAAATTGTATTTCAAATAAAAATCGTAATATAGAATTACACTGCACAAGCATCGCAAATCGCAACGCATTGTTATTGTATGAAACACGTGATGATATTAATATTATATCGAGTGATTCGTTTTAGTGGGTACACCACTCATTATCTCGGCAAATATTAACTTTTTTCGGAATTTGTTTTCTAGAAAATTTAAGAAACAACCAGTTCTACAATTTTATATTTATGTTATTTATTAAAAATTCTATAAATAGATAGAAATACTAGTTAAAATAAATTCGAGTGTTGACATTTTTTATCAAGCCGTTGACGAGATATTCCACTTTGAATTTTAGGTTGGAGCAGAGTAGTGGTACATTAATTGCCGCACTGCCACACAAATGACACTCCACTACTCTCCTCCAACCCAAACTTAAAAACAGAATATCTCGTCAACGGACCAACAGAAATCAAAAATGTCAACACTAAAATTGATTTTAACTAATACCCCGTCTATTTATGGAATTTTTAATATGGGTTGCCAGTTGAAAATCAAAATTAGAAAGTGGTTTACCCCCAAAAATAACATAAATATAAAATTAAATTTGCTAGAAAACAAATTCCGGAAAAAGTAAATACTTGTCGAGATAATGAGTGTACCCACTTAAATGAATCACCTGGTATACAACTTAAACGAATTAAAATGTATAACAACACGGATTGCGAGTTGGCAATTTGACACGGCCAAAATTGACCACAGCAACCTAACCATACCTGTCTAAGTGTATGGTCGTTATTCTAAACACTAAACACTTTACATCAGGTCAAACTTTATAGTACCTACCTACCTGCGTGCCATACCCTCCGCTCGAAAGTTTAAATTTGTATAACCGTCCAATTAAAGTTTGGTAGACGACTTTGGCCCACCATCTAAGCTACGATACCCGTCGCAAAACTTCAGTAGCCTTATAATACGTATACTACGCATATTATCCTCTCCGTGCTATAGGTGTGTATTTTTTTGAACTATCTACTACAGTAGAAACTTTATAATATTATAGGTATCGGCCGAGGTCTTTGGATTGTTTAAGTACCGGTTCGGAAGCGTAGGTAATCTTATAGCTTGTATAACTCGTATCATCAAAAGTATATGATCCCCTTTGAAAAGTTATAATAGATGTGTGCTTGTGTAAAGCGTTTATTATTGATGTAAGATTGTGTAAACCTTATGTATAATATTATCCAGTAATCGTGGAAAAATCAATACGTTAAAATTATTAAAATTAAATTTATGTTTATAACTTTTTACGTATACATAAACAAGGTAGTAATAAGTTTCTATAAATATATAATTTTTGTATTGTAGATTTTTGAAATTTTTTTGCATCATAACTTTACTTGGAGCGTAAGTAAAAAAAAAAAAAAAAAAATGATTAACGACTTAATGTTTAATTTCAAACGTTTGTAACTTTTTTTTTTACAAATAGTGTATCTAAGTATAATAATACAAATTATAAACATAAATAAAAAGTTACGTTTAATTCTAATAACCGTTTATTATAATGCTGCAGTTTATTATTTATTACAGCCTGTTAAGTCTCGAATTTGATTTTTGTACGAAATTTTGAACAAAACAATGCTATGTGAATTATTACTATAATGACTTAAAAGGTATACCTTAAGTATTAAAAAAAATTTAAGTAACGAAATAAATAAATAAAATAACGAAAACTCGACAAATCTCTTGAAACATTATTTCACGTCTACTTTAATATAAACTTAGTGAATTAAATACTAAGGTCAAGAAATGGCGCGTAAACGCGTTATTCGAAAAATACAACAATATATATGACTTACTAACAAAAGATAAATAAAAAAAAACACACAAATCGGATGCTGGACACCTATGCATCAGATAGTTTTGTGTTATTATTTCAAATTTTAACGTTATAATTCGAACACGTTCAGCATTCTTAAACCAGAATCAAACCACTTACGTTAGTCCTGGTAAATTTGAAATCAATAAAATCTATTAAAGCGAATGAATAAAATTGTACATAAAAATATTTTATCAATTAATTATTTCACACTCTTCTAAAACAGTGTATTTCCGAACCTATGATAGGTATGTGTTATAACAGTACTGTAATACATCTAAAATTGCACGCAATGAAAACGTTTAACTCTACAATACCATTGCATAACATACTATACCTAGTTTATTATTATAATACGTAGCAGACCCGGCAATGTTTTACTATTGCTAAGTAATAGAGTAAATAATATATCAATAATAATAATAATAATAGTTTTCTATTTTTCTTGTCCGTAACAACTATAAATTTTCATTCATGTCACCCAGGTAACCCATGAATAAACAAAAGTAAATAAATGAACAATTAGATATTTGTACTAAAAATACCTAAAAACCCATATTTTACCCCCTTAGGGTTTGAATTTTCAAAAATCTTTTCTTAGCGGATGCTTAAGTAAATAATAGCTATATCTGTATGCCAAATTTCACCCTGTTCCATCCAGTAATTTGGGCTAGGCTATAATGAATCAGTTAGTCAGTCAATCAGTCAAGACATTATTTTATTTATTATAGAAGATACAGGATGATTCAGTAAGTAAGCTCACCCCATTTTTGTGATAAAAGTTTACATATATTAAAATTCTGAGTTTTGGAATTTTAAAGCGTAGTTAAAGCCGTTATGTTCGAATACATACATTTTCACAACATTTAAGGAGTCTGTTGAGGCGATACCAATTTTGGTTTTTTAAATGAAAACCTACGTTTAAAATTCCGTAAATATGTAAAGTATTAGTTTAAATTAATGTGAAAATATGTTTTTCCATCAACCCGTTGACGGGATATTCCACTTTTAAGTTTAGGTAGGGGGAGAGTGGTAGAGCATGATTTGTGTGGTGGCACGGCGTGCGGCGTTTTATTAGTACTTCACTATAATTCTATATTATATACAAGCATTAGGTAAATATAATATAATATCTTTTTGCATAATATAATGCATTATAGCAATACAAAGTGCAATTTTATATCTTCAAATCCACTCAAGTCATTACACTCGTATATAGTATAATAATAATAATATGGTTTATGATCCGTTAGTTTAGTACGAATTTTTTTATTTTTAAATTTCCAAACTTTGCTCCTTCTGAAATCGCTCGTTAACCATGAAGTTCACTGGTTTACCCTCGCAGCAGTTTATACCTACTTTCACTGAGAAAACGTACAATATGGCTTTGTGTCGCCGAGGAAATCGGATTATTAGGCGAACGATTTTTTTTTTTTTTTAGTCGAAAATAAAATCCACATCATAATATTATACAGGGTGTGTAGTATATACGTATAATAGCACATAGGTTTTTATTGTTCTCAGACGATGTGTATGGGCGAAGGGACGTCTGATTTCCCACGGGAACGCACAGTCTGTCGAGATGATGACACGACCTATTGGGAAATTAATGAACGACGGTACTATTAAAAATAGTAGGAACGTATTGTCGTTATCTACCTACAATACGAGTACCTATGTCCAGCGTCCCGAGTCCATAACGAATATCGTATATGATCCCGGAATATCTCGACTGAAGAAAAATCCGAAGACTATATTATTATACGAGTACAGGTTAAAACATAACCTCCGCCGTTAAGACGGATATTGTTGTACGTACGTATGTATTATAGCTACGTCTGCAAAATTCAATAATAAATTCGTGAACAAATTTCAAAAAATATAACAGTATACACGCGAGTATAAAAATCTTGAGTTTAATCTTACGATTTTTTTACACGTGATCGAACGATAAAACATTATTTTTTATTCGATAGTTTATTATTTGTCGTTTACCTAGGCGTAAAATGGGCAGAGTGCATGGGCATATAATATACATAAATTTAGTTTTTTCGTATAGTTACAGTTATTTCATATAAACCTATGAAATTTTTTTCAAATATATTTTTTAATTTAAAAGCTAGAAATCTGAAACGTTTTTAACCGATTTAAACACTGGTATTAAATTAAACACTATAGACTTGTTTTGACAAAAATATTTCTAAATTCTCAATAATTTTCCGAATAAATTCCTGCTTTATTATTACTTAAGTACTTTATTTGAAATATGTATAGCAATTTTGAACAGTTTGCCCCTAAGTTTCGTTTGTTTGTTTTTGATTTCTGGAATAACTTTAACAACAAAGAAAAAGCACACGACTTATATAATACTGTTCGGTTCAGAATCGTTTTTCGTTTGCAATGATTATTCGTTGCGTACAGTACAAATAAACAAAATTACCCGTATGTTTAATGTATATTTAATTATTTACTTATAAACGTGTAAGGACCGTATAGAAAAATAGTTATAGTATGTGATCCAATGACATACATATTTAGAACAGTAACATAAAAACTAACATACATTATAAAAGTATAATAATAATAGTAATCTTTATTAACGGAAGTGAAATCCCAATTACATTTTTACTTATGTTTTATAGTAATTAATATTTATGGCTATAATGTATAATAATTTATAAAAATTCAAATAGGTAAATCAAATCATATTTTAATAGTTCTTAAAATCTGAACTGAAAACTTTGTTAAAGATTTAATAAAAAAAAAAAAATCTATATTTTCCACATAATTATTATTATCAGCTGACATTAGACATTATACCCTACCGTTCCAAATACCCACCACCAACAATATTGGCCTGCCCATGGCGCAAAACAAGTCCGGGTTTTTTTTTTTTGTTATTCGGACACTAGTCGTGTAAAACATATACTACGACTCAATATTTATATTTAATCTATACATATTTTATTACAGCTGTTGTCAATTTTGTCAATCTGCGCATACCGTCAATGTATACTTACGCACATGGCCAAATCATAATATATTATCATATGTGTTATGCATAAGAAAAAGGGCGTTAGGCTATTATGTCGTACGTCAAGGGGGAAAAAGGAATCTATCGCGTCCTAGCCAATGTACTAGCGGGTAATTGAAATAATGATATAAAACTCATAACCCAATCATTATACATACCTATTTTTCTTTCGTGGTCGACGTTTCAATTATTCAAAAGATGTATTTGAAAAAAATTAACAAGGCGTTTTCTATTATAGGAAACACGCAAACGTACGTTTTGCCAGTGTCATGTTGACAACTTCAAAAATTGGGTCATGGATTCTCTGTATTTCGCTACGAAGTTTCGGGAATTCGCACTACTTCGTTTTCCCAGAATCCGAGAAAATTCAAAATGGTCCGACACCGACACTTTGTACATATGTAATAGACGAGAATGTAAACGAGAAACTTCTCGTAATCCGTTTCTTGTATACATAAAATACATCAAATACAGCAATAAATTGGGTTTTGCTACCAATATACGGGAATATAAAATTGTTATCATCTTATCGTAAATAATTTAATCAAATTTGATCAGATGCATTTATAAATTCACACATATATTTCGTTTTTAATTTCATCGTTGAACTCTCAGCATTCAATTTTTTACTAAAACAGCAAAAATTAAAAATAATTTCATACTAATTTGATTTCCACTGTAAAAATATCATACTTCAATATGAAAATATACAGCGATATGCGTTATAAGTAATTATTATTTTTAAGATTTAAATTTATTTCGCATTAGATTATGTTTTTGGTTTATATTTTATATTATGCACTAATATTTATAAGTCAAATAAAGCAATATATGTAGTGTAACAAAATATCATAATATTGACATTGTATATGTAAATTCCTACTTAACAATAATTATAGTAATTATCTGTGGTTTGGTAACAATGGTAATAGCAGCGAAATAGTTGGGCAGTCAATACTATCTATACAGATACATAACATTTCTTTACAAATCTGAGTAAATTACAAGAGATATCGTGGCATCACTAAATTATAAATTGCCATAGATGATGGTATAGTATATTATGATCTATGTGAATTGCAATACAATATTAATTATTTTCAGAAGATATCAATCGTCATTATCATTTTCGTATTTTTCTTTTTTTCCATCAAATGGAACAACGAATAAAATAGTTTATTTTCTTCTAATAACTGAACATGTTCTTTCTAAACATTGATTATATTTTCGATATTGTGCAATCAATAGTTTTATCAACTATACAATAAGTAGGTATGTTTTCCTAAATATTTATTTATATTTCTCCCATTTTTTTAGCCGACGATTATTGTTCCCCATCAAAAATGTAAATTTTGTCAAAATGTATACAAGATATGCCAACAATTTTACTTTTTATATTTATGAGCGAATTCCGACATTATTAATACAATATGGTAGGTATATATAGGCTACACTCGAGAACAAAAGGAAAATCCATAACACAGCGGAAAAGTCACAAATACCTACGCAAAATGTTCCATTTATGTTCATATTGCGAACCTATAATAATATATGTTTCATCTCAAAAGCGTACTGTACACGTATAAAATTATCTGCCAACCTGCGTGTAATGTAAAATATAATAATATAATGTAACACGCGTACAAATACAAAATTTGTACGAAACACACGACACAAAAATTGTTGAGCAAAAACTGAGCGAAATATTTGATAGAAACGTTGAACGGAAAAAAAAAGCCACAGATACGATTAATAGGTATAATACATCTACTCCGTTCAGAATCGTTTTTTTTTTTCTCGTTCGCGATGATCGAACAGATATCGACTTTTTTTTGCTACCCCGCAGATTCTATTGCTCGTGTACACATTATTCAATATATTAATAATATTCCATATTATAATATGTTTGTATTTAGGAAATATATAATATACAATATGCATAATATTATTATATTGTTTCGATAGTTCAAGCAATTGTTAGCGATGCGCCGTCGTCCCTGCCTGCAGTATCAAACTTACCGTATCGCGGCAATTCAAGTATAGACAAACATTATGATAGTATAATATATTATAATATAACAATACGGCATTATATCGATATATTTTCAATTTGTCTTTCCGTTATTTCGCCGCCCCGACCGGAGTGCCGTATCGATTTCACCCGCCCATATCGGTAAACCAAAACCGTAATAAAAGTGTGTAAATTTACACAGACTGTACCCTGAATGTATATTTGTATATGTATGCACTAAAACAGTCGCGTGTGTGTACAATATATATTATCATACTACGTAGTCGACAATTTCCAAACAGAATACCTATATTATTATATAGACGGCGTCTGCTGCAACGTAAACAGGTACCTACCTACCTACACACCTACCTGTACGCGTACGCACGGCGCCAAAACGAATGAATTTCTCGCGGCGCGTTTAATCGTGATAAATGTAACGATGCGGATTTCCACTGGTCCGACCGTGTAAACATCCGCCGACCTACACGCAGCGAATTCGTCCGTTTATAACTATTACGGTGCGAGTGTCGCCGCGCACACCGAATTGAATGGCGCGCGCGTAAATAATACAAATAATTCCCGGCTACCTATCTAATTGATTCGCCGATACGGGTGCACGGTGCGGCCCGGCGTTATCGCGGTGTAAGTGCCAACGGTAGGTACCTGTATATTACCTGTATTATTATCGTTTCCGGTCGATCGTCGCAAACGCAAATTACGTACTCGCCCACAGCGGATCAGCTTCGATCGGTGAAAATTGAACGCTCCGGGATTCGGTTAGCCGAGAACGCGGCCCGCGAAACAATGCCAAGCCATTTGAATGTCGCGGTTTTTTTACACTTGATATTAAAATTAGCCCACTGGGATATTGTGTACTTACCGTCTTGCTACGCGGAACTGCAACACGAAACATCGAGCGGGGAAACTGAGGCTCTAGAACTAATGTGGCTGTGTAGTAGAATTCTCGGCTTGAGTGCACTTCAGTGTATGCTAAAGGAATAATAATTACTGATTACTATTAAACCTCAGCGATATGAGTTTTTGCAGGATGATATAATGAGAAACAACTAAACCGGGTGATTCAAGTGGGTACACCACTCATTATCTCGGCAAGTATTAATTTTTTTCGGAATTTGTAAAGGTAAATTGGCTACAAAGGAAAAAGGCGTTAATGATTTGATTATTTTTAATTTTTTCCGAATATTTTTTTCATTAGGAATGGTTTCTCATCGCGTACAGATATAAATTTAATTACTCTATATTATAATTTCTACCTTCCCTTCTGAAACCCATAAACAGTATCTGCAACCTTTTTAGTAGTGATAATTATATTGTTATTTACTTAACCGCGGACCATAAGATACGATGGCAGATTAATCCCCATCATTCCCTTACCTCGTAAATACACCACTGCATTAGGTAAACGTACGTACAGAGTGATTATCTAAGTGTGCTCACCTCATTTGTAGGTTAAATTGTGCATATTTTGCATTTAAATTATAATTTTTTGAATTTTTAAGTGTTGTTAAAGCCAATATTTTCAAATACTTAAATTTTTCACAAAGTTTAAAGATAGTATCCTGTGGCGATACCAACTTTAGTTTTTCAAATAAGAACCTAGATTCAAAGTTCTATAAATATATGAAGTATTAGTTTAAATACATTTTTGATTTTCGTCAACCTATTGACAAGGTATTTCACTTTGAATTTTTAATAAGGGGAGAGTAGTGGAGCACTAATAAAACGCTGCAAAACGCGCCACCACACAAAAAAAGAGAAATATCTCGTCAACAAAGTGACGGAAATCAAAAATGTTAACACCAAAATTTATTTAAAGTAATACTATGTCTATTTATGGAATTTTTAATATAGATTTTCTTTTGAAGAACCAAAGTTCGTATCACCAAAGGATACTCTTTAAATGTTGTAAAAAATATAAGTATTCAAAAATATCGGCTTTAACTACACTTAAAAATTCCAACAGTCAGAATTTGAATATATGCAAAATTTAACAAAAAAAATGGGATGAGTGCGCTTAGTGAATCATCCTGTATATATATTAGGTACGTGCCATTAAAATTAATTCTGAGAGACCTGCCATTTTTCTGGGTGAATATTTTTTAAAAAAATTCTGTCGAATGAATAAACTGCCGAAACGTGTATTAAAATTACAATATTCAGCCGAGTATTATAATGGTTGTGACCCCGAAGTATACAAGTTAAAATATGTAGGTGCGTTGTTTATTTAATTTAATTTCTCGCCCGCAAAAAAAACATTACAATCCTTGAGATTATACGAGATTTTTACAGCATCATCACTTTTTTACAATAATAATAATAATATATTCAAATGCGAAAATATACATTTTTTTCCACCGTCAAATCCCATTCGTATTCAGACATATTTATACTTTCATTCGACAATGTAAGACGCTTTAAAAAAAAAAAAATGTTTATTTTTAAATTTTTTCAAAATGAATAATTAGCACAAACGTATATATTAAAATAATATTTTCAAATCATTGTAATAGAAACGTTAAAAGTGAAAATAAAAACCTTTTTTTTCTTGCGCGGACGTAGCAAAACTGATAAACTGTAAAAGATACTCAAAGTAGCAAAAAGGTACATATTTTTGAAAAATAGATTTTTTAAATTTTCTTCTCGTTTCCTTTTAGTAAACTGTATAATTTCCTTAATTTTTATTCGAATTTCTAAATTTTGTTTAATTATCGTTGTTCGTTAATACCTAACGTTATGGAGATAGGTTAAGTTTTAGAGGCTATAGGCTCATGATAGGCTAGCTTTTTGTATTATTTTATTAAATTATCGAATAATATCGTTTGAGCTGCATGCTTAGACAGACGCATTCCTGAGGAGGACGATCGCTCCCAACCCCCAATAAGCCATATGATGTTCTTTTTTGTTATTAAAAATATCCTCAATTCTTAAGTACTTAAAAATTCAACTAGTTCCAAATACCATAAAAATGATTCCGGATCTTGGAAATGCTTTGATTGAAACAAGAATGAAACAATTTTTATTTATAAATTTCAATAAATATTCTCTCAAGGGTGAAATAAAATTATGAAAAACTAAATGGGAGCAATACATTTTCAAAGATATAATATCATTATATTGGTACTTTTAGAATCAAAATTGAAAATGATTAATTTAATTTAAATTTTAGATTCTAAGTGTAGCAAAGAATGAACCTATTGGGTTTATAATGATGGTTTTTTTTTTTTTTTTTTTTTTTTATAATATGACAAAAATGTCTACCAGAAATCTTGGTTCAATATTTAAGTGTAGCACCTTATTTGAAAGAAAATATTATCATATTGACTAAATGATACTTTAGAAAGATCATTTTTGATTTTTCAAGCAGTTTTCATGCGTAAGTTATAACTGGAAAAATTACGAAAATAATGCTTTTATTGTTTACAATCTTGTTTTTTTTTTTACAATTCCATTAAAAATATTCGTAGAAACTTGAAATTCGGACAGAAAACTTAAATTTGCCTTTTCATGACGTGGTAAAATTGTTGAGGAATTTATAGACATTTTAATTTTACGTGTTTTGCACGTAATTTTTATTCGGTAGGTACTTTGTGGATACAATTTTTAAATCAAACAGAAATACTTGAGAATTTATGATGAGGTTCATTAAAAGTCGTACTTTGTGGTAAAAAAAAAAAATAACTTAGAGCAGAGGCTAATAGGCTTATCACTTTTAAATATTCATCAAAATGAAAACATTTATATAGAAAATATTGTTGATCAAACCCCCCTTGCAAAACGCTGCTTAAAATAAAAGTATTTTGGACTTAGGTACTTAAGTACAAACATACATTACATTTCTCACAATATTCAACCTTCTCAACTTTTCATCTATAACAGTGGTTCACCCATTGTGCTAATTATGTCCGTCTATTTTCATATCAATCATTAATATTAAATTTGATTATTTCACCCCCTTTTCCCCCTCAGAACCCATAATTCTGAAGACGCCTCTGCGCTTAGTATGAATGTAGATATTTTAAAACAAGGACCGAAATAGTTCAAATGCTGTAATGACCAAAATACGTCTTAGTAAAACCAATATATCTCAATACAATCTAAAACTAATTTAAAAACTTCCGTCTAAAAACATGCAAGTCATACTTATCAATCATCATATTATCATAATTTTATTATATTGGATAAAAAAAAAGCATATTAAATGTGAAATATTCATTTTAATATTTGAATTTTAGGTGTTCAATTTTTCGTATGGCCATCATAATTATAATTTATGATAAACCAAGTAATTACCAAATTGACGAACATTTTTTTAAAATAAAAAGTTATATCTCCATAAAACTAAAAATTCGAATATTTCAAATAGCTATAGGTACATATTATAAGTATATCAAATGTCGTCAGAATATTTTAAAAATTTTATTTTGTACCACGTCTATTCGGTAAAAATTCAGTATTCTACGATTATTACAGTTACTAGTGTTACACGTAGAAATCTGGAAGGTAACATACATTTAAGTGATTTGATTTATTTCTGTATCCAACGTTTGCCATTGCTAACAAAAACAATTCTAAGCGGATTTTGGTTATATATGTTGTAAAATGCCGTAGTTTTCACGATCGTCCTTGAAATTTGATACTAAAACACTTATAAAAAAAACTTTAATACTTAGGCTGGGTTGCATAAACGTTCATTAGCGATTTACAGAGCCTTTAACTCACTACTAACTCGTTAAAATAAATTGGGTGTTGTTTTAACGCTCGTTAGCTTTAATAGGTCTGTAATTTCTTGGCTACTGGGCCTTTATATTTACAGGACCAATTTTGTGTCTGTAAATTTTACAGATTCATTAATATATAATGATAAGAACTATAATTTCTTTAACTATTTCCAGTTTTTGGTTCATTACTATTCTAGAGCTTGGTTATTTCTTCCTAAGACTGTTTTTTTTTTTTTTTTTTTTGACATTAACAAAGCCATATCAATTTTTACCTTGCCTAGCCTATTGTAATTTATAATTAAGTAAACCTGTCAAACAAATACCTTAATACTTTCAATTATATCCTTATGTGGAATTATCAATTCCATTTATGTCACTTTTTCTCGTTCAGTAAAGTTTTTCTGCCTTACACTTTTTGGAGCCATTATCAAAAATCAAACAAATATTATAATTTGAATTGCTGTTTGAATATTTTTTATTAATATGCATTTATTATTAATTGACACAAGATAATGTAATCAGTAATCAAATAAAAATTGGAATAATTTATTTGGTAACCACGATTATCAATAAAATACAAATCTTGTATTTATTATTATTATTAATACTGGCGGAACCCAGAGTACCGAATGAACGAAAAAAACGATACAAATAATGAAACTTTTATTAACTCAATTTTTTTTTTTTTTTTTACACGCCATTAAAACGTTACATGCTCGTTAGTAAAGTTACAGACTGATCTTTACGCAACCCACCCTAAGTGCTCAACTAAGTGTTTGTTAACAGAAAAATAACCCGTTACAAAACCAATACATTTCTCGTTGTACTCGGGGGGAGGGGGGGGGGGTTAAGTTCTAAAAAAAAAAAANTTGTTAACAGAAAAATAACCCGTTACAAAACCAATACATTTCTCGTTGTACTCGGGGGGAGGGGGGGGGGGTTAAGTTCTAGAAAAAAAAAAAAAAAGATTGACTAAATATTATATTATAGTAACTGCAGCGTAAAATTATAGGTGAACCGAACGAAGTAATGCAACAGAAAAACGTATAGCTAATAATATGCACCTACAATAGTATAGAATCGATGCCGAATACTCGTACATTATATAATTAATGAATGTCCCGTGGGATTGTCAGGAACAGGTACCAAGCTATATATTACGAGTATATTATTATTATTATTATTATTATTATCATATACATATAAAGTGCGCGTAATTTATTATTATTTCGTAAAATATTAACAACATTTTAGATGGGCATACGCGAACCTATTTATACGTGTTGTAAAATAAAAAAAAAAAGCGAATTATTGAAAAAAAAAAAAAAATCGACCCGGCAATTCATTACAATATATTATTACCATAGGTAAACGCGGACTGTCCGCCGCAGTATGCGTGCAAGCAGTCTATAAGGTATTGGCTTAGGGGCCAAAGTTGTAGGCCACAAAGCGTCACAAAGTTTCGAGTTGTTTTGTTTGTTCGCTCGTATACATACAAAGAGCATTGATATTAGTGCCGCGGCGTAGGTATAATCGACGTTTAAGATACATAATATACACATATATATATATATTCCATCGGAAGTCCTTTTCGCGAACTTTGTCCGAATGATTCGAGCATAAATATAATAATAATTAATGTCATACGAAGGGTCACGCGGGACTGGCAGACGGACAAGTAGGTAGGTGTATAGTGTATACAAAAGGTACAGACCTCGGTGGTCATCATAACCGCAAGCTCTCTGAAATGGATCGTCGTTCAGTTCCTCCGCACGCTTTTAGATTCTGAGCGGGGCGAGAAATATGTATCGGTTTTACGATGCCGTTTATTTTATTTTATTTTTTTTTTTTCTGTAGACAACTTTCTACAATTCTACAATAGCAATTTTGCTCCGATTTTCAATTATAGCACTTTTGCTGAAACAAAATCCGACTGGAGATGGTACTTTTCAGTGGTAACTGAAGTGGTAGCTGCTTTCCCAATAAATAAGAAAAACCGATAAAAAAAAAACGTAGGAAAATAGGTACGATGTTAAACGAAAATATCATAACATAATATTTCGTATATTGTTGACAAGGCAACACTATTAACTGAACTCTACTAAGAATCGTTTTTCGTTAGCTGCAATGGTTTATCGCTGCGTACTGATACACATTACATTTCCCCTCTACCTTCCCAACATCTCACTTACAATAGTGGCCCACCCATCGTGCGAAGCATGTCCGTTTGTTTTCTTTTTCTTTTTCTACCGACAATTTCGCTCCGAATTTTTGTTATTAATACCGTACATTTCGCATCGTTTAATACCGCACACATTTTGTCTATTGTTAGCTTATGTCACTGGTTCGTCACCGTATTTTTCATCATGTTTGGTTACGCAGGGCGCGAATTTATTCCAAAACTCAAAATATTATTATAACGTTAATTATTAGTATTGTTTATTATATAATTTTACTTAATATTTTAATATTTAAGATAATTATTATGCTTAATTAAAATATGAATACTTATAAATGATAACAAATCAATCTGGGCAAATTTCAATAAAAAAAAAAAGATCAAGTTCAAAGTTTCATTAAATTAATTTTCGGAGCGGTAATGATGATTATATTTTTATTACTACAATAATAAGCTAATGATAAACACGAAACAGTTATTCCGATAATCACGTACATTTCGCCGTTCAAAAATACCCTGCAGGGAGATTATTTGATAGATTAGAATACATTTAGATCTGAAAGTTTTCAAAAATTCAATTAAAGTTATTTCATTATTTATGAATCGGTTATATCAACTCGAATGGTTTTTTTCTATATCTTTATCTATTTTTAAGAGTACGGTTGACATTTCCCCATAGTCTTGTTAATCAAAGTTTGATTTTGAATTTGCGATTTTGATTAAATGAAGTGTGGTTCTAAACGATAATCTGATTTTAGATAAATGTATGTTTTAGTGTTCTTTCGACCGCCCAATTTTTAAAATGTCAATCAAACATGTGCGGTTCAGAACGGTAAAACCTTTAAGAATGCCTACTACACAATAGGAAAAAAAAATGTGCGGATATGATTTATAAAAAGTGTGCGGTTCTGAATGACATCCACAGATAACCTATATTGAATTCGGCAAGACCTGCAGTTTTTCAATTTTTGTTCAAATGTAACATATTTGTTATTTATAGCCGAATTTGCATAACGATCGCCGTCTTATAAAACAATAATTCGTATAGTTACAGCAGTAAAAATCTAAAGAATTCCGACAATTTAAAAAAAAAAAAAATCGCCAAACGTACTTAGCACTAATAGGCCACATGTACAAGTAATTAAGTTTATAATAATATACTGAAAGCAACGATAAATCGTTGTAATCGTAAAACAATTCCGATTTCGCGGTTTACTGGTTACTGGTTGTTAAGGTTATATAATAGACTTTATTATATAGTTTAAATCGCGAGTTGTTTTCCTCTTGTAGTCGAGGAAATCCAGAAATCAACAAAAATCATGCCTCTCGATGTGATATAGGAAAATCCAAAAAATGTGAGTACATTATAATATAGTTCTTAATATGCACGTAACTATTTAAACCAGGAATCGACAATTATTTTCTAAGGGGGAAGGGGGATAATTTGAAAACAATTTTTCGAAGGCTATATATTTTTGGAGTTGAGCATATTACAAAAAAATCATTTAATATTCCGTTTTATTAAAAACTTCCAAAAAAATAGACATTTATAAGTTGATAAATGTATTTATTTTTGTACTAAAAGCACTATTATTGTAATTTAATTGTTTTATAGAATAGAGTTTACCTATAATTTTATAATAATATATAAATACCCCAAATATACTAAATACACGATAAATATAAATTATGTTCAAATGCTTGGACATTCTGGACCTACACAAAGATAAATAATGAAAACAAAAACCAGCGTTAAAGTAAAACAAATTTGGCGGTCCGTTTGTTTCCTCTTTGCGGACCGAACTTCGCCCGCAGAACGCCTACTGTCTACATCTGATTTAAACTATGTGTTTGTTATCTTTCTATAAAACACGTTTACCCCCCCCGTTCCCCTGGATTCCTAAATTTTTGGCTGCTCGATAACAATTTATAATATGTAATGCGTATGTACATAATAATATTATTATTATTTTAGATGGGTTTCAATATTGGGTTTCGCATAAAAAGTGAGAATAATATCTAAGTACCCAATAGTAATTACCTATAAAAAAAACCGTATTTGGTTCTTATTGCTATCGGGAAAATAACATTTCTCTACGATATTGTTCGATGCATACATATTATACCTGCAGCGATAGAATAGGTATGTATAGGAAAACCATGTATAGAGTTATAAAAATCGCATTCACTTGGACTTTCGTTTTGATGATTATCTTTATAATAAGGATAGATATCTATAACTGGTATTTTCTATTCGTGGCCGAATTGTTTGTTATTTTTTTTTCCCCCAAAATAATATTATTTGCTTATTTTCTTCTTTTATATAACGGCCGGATCGCCGAATATAACCTAAGGCGGGTTTCTTTTTATGTAGGTAGGTACTGTATAATGATATTATGATAATAATATTAACGTCTGTACACGCGATATGGGATTGATTGAAGTAGATTTCACAATGTATATTCGATTGATAATATAGGTACCTAGGTTCTGATTTTCTATGATTTAATTAAATTTAATGGTTTAGAGTTTAAAGGTTCAACGATACGAAAATACAAATTCGAATCCGATAAAGACAGATCCACTCCCATAGCTCTTTGATTATATGATGTATTATTATATCGTAATGAATAGCCGTATAGATATTAATTAATACGCTTGAATTATAATAAAAATAAATTCATAGTTCATATACCTAATTGTATTCCGTAAAATAACAGTACTTGATACATGTATGAGTGAATTACAAATTTGGAAAAATACAATTGGGGATACCATGTTTAAAATTGGTTTAGAAGCACTAAAAAATTGTGACAAAGATATTTTCCCTAATGTACATTTTTTGTCGAAAATATTTTGCACATTGTCCATCTCAACAGCTGAACCAGAAAGACGTTTTTCAAACTTGAAAAGAATCAAAACTTATTTGAGAAATTCTATGAAAGAGTTAATTTCTTTATTTGATAGGTATTTTATAATAAATTTATTTATATTTAGACAAAATTAAACGGTTGAGCAGTGATTTCTATACATCGGGTAATCCAAATAAAAACTGACAAAGACATCAATGAGCTTGCGTTAAAACCAAAGAAAATGACCTCCTTTTATGGAAGGGAACCTGTACTGAACTCAGTTTCAAACATAATAATAATAATTTTATCCACACTTTTCTAAGTGATCAAACAGTTTGAAAAAAATCTGATTTTCTGTCATAGGCAAATAAAACATATATTTTTTAATGTACCTAAACTCACCTTAAAAAAAAAAAGTAGATAGAAATTTAAAATTTTAAGTATAAAACATTTCCTATTTGCGTACGATTTTAGTTTTCAAACGACTAACTTAATCTTTTTTAATATAACACGTACCATTTTTTTTTTTTTCAATAAATCGGTATAAATATTAATTCCTTTATTCGTATTGTATTTTTCAAACCTTTGTCTATTTTGGAAGATAAACCGAATATTATGGATCGCAGTTATTTATGTGGTACTTGAAAGAATACACATTTTTCAAGCTTTTCTTCGGAAAAAATAAAAGTCGCAAAAATACGAGTCGCGTGTACCGAAATATTGTGTAAAAACTTGACGATAAGACAGCATTCAATAAAATCGATATTTTCCTTTTTTTTGATTTTTTGTTCGGGGAAATATTACAATCATAACATTTAATATTAAACGTAAAGATTGATTGTCACTAATTCTCTTTCATGAGTGTTATGAGCTTTAAAAATAACGTTAAAAAACGATTGACTTAGAATTTTACATTTTATATTCTGAGCTACTTACCTGCTTTTATTGATTATGATATTCTTATAGATGTCGCACTGCCTCAAGAAGATTTCGATAGTATTAGTCATTGGTGTAATACCAGTATGCTGAACTTAAATGTTTCAAAATGTAAAATTATTACCTTCTCAAAAAAACGTTCCTCTTTAATTGAAAATATTTGTTAAATAGTGTAGAGCTAGATCGAATAGATCACATAAAAGATTTAGGTGTTTATCTTGATACATCACTCTCATTCAATGAACATCATATATACATACAAAATAGTTTTTTGTAATAATTTTGACAATCCAATCACCCTTAAGTCGCTATACTGTTCCTTTATTTCAATCCATTTTGGATTACAACTCAGTAGTTTGGTCACTTTATTCAAACCGTTTAATCCAGTCTTTTTAGATAATTCAAAATCGTTTTCTAAAGCTATTGAATATAAAATGCAACATTCAACGTTAGCCACACTCATATTATCAACCAATACTGTTATATTTAAAGTTTGATACTCTACAAGTTAGAAGGCTAAACAGGATGTCCTTTTTATGTTTAAATTACTAAATGGTTTTACTTACTGTCCAAATCTGTTGTCCAAACTTAATTTTCTGGTTCCGAGTTATAAAACCAAACAGGTTGACACTGTTTATGTTCCTTTCCAGCGTACGTTCTCCTTTAAATAGACATATGCAACTTGTAAATAAATCTAATATTGATGCTTTTGTTTATGATACTGTAAATGTTTTTAGTCTATATATTTGCAATTTAATTACGTAATTTGTTTAACCTTTAATCTAGCACAAATCTATATTGGAATATTTGTAAATCGTGTGCTCTGTGTATATATTGTAACTGGCCTTTCACCCGTTTAAATTTATAATAAATTAATAAATGATTTGTGCTTTTTTTCTGTCTGTGAACAATTTTTCTACCAGAAATTTTACTTCAAACATCAACTTTAAGGTTATAATTTCTGAAAGTAAATTTCGTCTAATTAGTGCACTGAGTCAATCATTAATTTATATTTTGCTTTGTACATTTTTCAACATTGAGACAAAAACTGAGAATATTTACGCGATAATGGTTCCTATTGCATTCGACTATGTTTTAATTCAGTGAAAAATAATTGTATCGATCTGAAACTTTCACCGAATACGTTTTATATTAGCGAACTCTAGATGTAGTACAATTTTCAAAATGTTCCGACCTTTTTTTTTTTTTATCTATTTATTTGGTTTTGTGTGGATGAAATTGTTATGACCCAGTAAAAAAGCTCAATAATTTACTGCGGGTTCGCCATAAGTTTTACAGTGGAAAAAAAAAGAGAAGCGTAATGTCGTAATTTATTTTTATGAGTGTTTCAAGTTCGAGTGTATATTTGAAAATATCACGATCGACAAGATTTGATCTAATAATTTCGATTTCGATTTTTTTTGTTACAATTCTTAGTAAAATAATCGGATAAACCTACATAATCACGTTATAAATGTTTACGGCCTAAATACATAGTATAGATATAATCTAGTGGTACAATTTTTTAAATATTCTTGCGTTTTTATGGGTAATAGGCAATTTTTGAACATCGCGCGGATGTATTTTTATTGTATCGCTTTATACTTGTTAGCGTATAATATTATAGAAAACGATTGTCTGCATACGTAAATATATCCAAAAAAACTGTAGTCTTATATGACTAAATATTATCTATAATGTAGGCCCGGATTAAGACATATTAACTTTGGTTATGAACAAATGAGCGACTCTTTTTTCATTTCACAAGAAAATATACTATTTATGAGTTTTTAGTGACGGACTATGTGCAGTCGTAAATAAAAAAATAAATAATGAGGTACCTATACATCTTTTAAATTGCACTTTTACTTATTAACTGTAGTGTTTGTAATGTTTTAGCCATTTTTCTTGTTTACATTTGTACATTTTTAAATTAATTATAAATACCTAATTTTTTACACACACACAAAAACATATACTTTAACCACAATAACTTTTTTATTTTTAAGTAAATACTGATAGGTAGGTACTGAAAATCTATACATTATCCATTTAATATAATATTTGAAAATAGTTCAGATTTAATAGAAAAAAGTTTAAAAATTTTAAAATTTGAATACATGCGAAATTTAACCAAACAATTGGTTTGAGCACGGTAACTGAATCACATTGTCTTTTTTTTTTTTGAGATAAATGAGTATTTAGTTTCATTGAAAAAGTTTTGTATATAGGTACAACGGGGCGTTGCGATTTTAAATTTTCATTTAATTTTTTTAACAAAATGTTCATGACTGGCGGACATATAACTTCCATGTAAATGTCAATATTATGTCATTGAAAACTAGGTTAGTAGCACGAAACTTTTTTTTTTTTCAATTTTCCGATATGCGGGGTTTTTTTCGGGAGAAAAACTCGTAAAACTATACGAGAATCATCGTAGTCAAAATTATTGCAAGTATTCAAAACTCCGCTAGCGATATGAAATTTATCGTTTTCCGAACCCAATGATTTATTATCGCTTTCGATTTGAAAATAATAATAAAATACTATTATTATATACCCACGGTTCGAGGGCCCCGAGAGGTTGCACCTTATAAGGTACATGCCCGTAAGGTGGGAAATATATTATGTCCGCGTTTTTCCGTCGCAATGAATTATCCCGAGGAGTGCAGAGCAACGCTATTTTACTATTGTATTTTATTTCGCTTTCCTTTAAATAATACCGAAGGTCCAACAATATATAAGAAAGGCAAAACGAAATAAAAGTACAACTGACTATATAGGTACAAAATAACGGTTGCGTATCTACCTGCTGCCCCGCGCATAGTTATTATTATTACGATATGATATCGCACATAATGCGTAATATTAAATCAAATTAAATGAACGGAATAGATACGGCGCGCAATTTATACTAGTGGCGAGTAGATTTTTATCCGATACCCGGTATGCCGGTAGAGAACCGGATTTTTCAACGCTTTTTATCATATTCCATTCATTTTACGTCAAAAATATCGTTATGCATGAAAAAAAAAAACATATACCTATACACATATGCCTATCCGATACTCTCGATATCAGCCGACACTCGCCACTCTGTACAATACCCAGTGACGTGCCCCGAAAATTTTCAATGGGAGGGAATGTAACAAATAAAAATCGTCTTCTCTACCAAACTCGACTACGGAAATTGATAATTTAAAATCCGGATCCTAAAAAAAAAAAACCAATTTTTAATCTATACGTAAAACTTTTTCTTGGGAAATCGGCCGACATTTATGAGTTTTGATATTAGCGATGTTTTTCTTTTATACTCTGTCCATATACACGGTAGATCGCTCAATAACGATATGTTGACCATTCATTTGATTTGTTACCTACAGTATTTTATAACTAATGATATCAGAAATAATAATCTAATTCTAGGAGTGTTTTCACATTAGGTTTTATAGGATATACGATCTTTTAATTATCCATTAGATTGTATGCGAAAACTCAAAAACTAATGTTATTATACTGTACCTATAATAATTAAATGATTTGATTATTCTGTTCTCTTCTGTTTATAATAATTACAACTGCAAATGCAACTTTTGTTAGAGATATTAGACACTGTAAGGTTTTTTTAATTATTATTATTATTATTACTATACAAACATCTAAATAAAAAATAAATAAATGAATAAATAGTACCTGGAGTTTTATACGGCCGGTTTCTAATTAAAAGACGTCCTAGGATAATGGAAACGGGTGCAGCTACTGTTAAAGGTAATTTAATGCATATCTGTAAACAACGATAAACCATTGCTGACGAAAAAACGATTCTGAGCGCAGTTCAGTTGATAGTAATGCTTTGTCAACAATATATGTCATGTTATGGTAAAATAATTAAATAGGCATTATGTATTTTCTTCAATAATATTTGTTTAATATTTTATTGATTTTCCAGGTTTTTCACATTTCCTGGGAAAATTGAAAAATTATCTCCCTAAAGTATCTTCCCAATCAGATATCCTTTCAGTAAAAAATACAATTATTTTAAATCGGAGTGAAATTGCTGGTAGAAAAGTTGTACACAGAAAGAAAAGGACATAATATTTTTTTACTAATACCTACATTTCGTACTTTTTCCGTTTTTTCTCAGATATCATGAAAACCATTTAAAAAATCAAAAAATGACCTTCCTAAATTACCACGGAGATAAAATTTCCTTTCAGAAAATAACCTACACTTGATACATTGGAGCAAAATTTCTGATAGAAAAGTTTACACAAATGAAGAGGTGTTTTGTGATTAAAATAGTCCTAGGGAGCTATGGCTTCAATCTCTAGGTACAACCAAAATGTATTTGTTTTTCCTTATTTGGGTAAAAGGGGAAAAAAATGCAAAAAATTTCTTTTCAAATTCCAGGTTTGAAACCCGCAATCCCAAGTATGACATTACATATTCATAACCATTCAACTACAACAAATGTAAAGTAGACAATATAGTTATTTAGCATAACATATAATATTCACATAATATCATACCTTCAAAAAACTATAATTTCAAAACTTAGTCTGTGCGACTTCACCATCATTCTTAATTTGGCAATATACATAATTGTTATACACATTGTTAACATGCATTGTTCAGAAAAAAAAAAATTGAAAAATTATATTTATTCCACATCATTTTTTACTCGAACAATTTTTGTCAAAATTTGATATTAAAATTCCCCTATAAAAAAAAAAAACTATATTAAACCCAATTTTTTTGACTAAAAGTAAATCTGTTACTGAACCTCCTGTTAAATTTGGAAGCATTTCTGTTCAAATTTTACAATTTTACCACAGAGTACCTACCGAATAAATATTTAAATATTTAGATTTTCTAGATGCAAATATAAATTTTCTGTCCCAATTTTAAGTCCATAGAGAGGCAATAGGAATATTTTAAACTGAATTTAAACAAATAACAAAATTTAAAAACAATAAAAACATTATTTTCATAAATTTCCCATTTTATCCTGGTTTTCACCAGATATAATGAAAACCCCTTAGAAAACCAAAAAAATGACCTCCTAAAAGTACTACCTGGATAATACTCTCTTTCATAAATGGTGTTGCACGTGTATATCTAAGCAAGATTTTAGTAGATTTTTTGTACACAGTAAAAAAAAAAAACATCTTAGTAAAATCAATACATTCTTCACTACACTCAGAATCTAAAATTCATCATCAGGTATATCAAAATGTAAAATGCTAGTCTATCACATTTTGACTATGATATGCCTGATGATGAATTTTTTATTCGAAACCGATCTTATAATACACTTATCATGATACTCCAGGCGATACATTTATTCAATAATATTATTTTATTTTATTTTATTTATCAACTCTTGAATAATTTTACTATGTTATGATTACAAAATATTTAAAAGTTTGGATGTGAATTATGAAAATATCTATTGATTGAATTATTAAATAATATACTTTTGTGTGTGTATACTTAAGCAAGATGTCATATCACTAACACTATGTAATATTGTTTTAGAAGTAAAATCTGAAAGGTTCAAGAAACGGTAACCAGTGTTAGTTTCAATATGAAAGACCATGCATTAACCTCTGCAGATGATGTATACACCGGCTGCCGACTAGTTTTTGTTCGTTTCCGTGCGTCTTCTATAGTAACTGGTCTACTGGAAGCCGCATAGTGGGAGGGGGGGAATCTGACGGTTAGGTCAGTCGTGATGTACAAACTCTATTCTAGTCTGAGACAGAATATAGTGATATTCAGGTCTATTGAGTAATATATAAAAGAAAATACAATATCAAGAGTTCTTAGTCACAGCAAAAAAAAAAAAAAAAATAAATAATTACATATTATAAATGAAATGTACTTGATAGTCACAAGAGATACTCAGGTGAATTAGCATAACATGATTAAAATAGAAAACTATAGGTTTAAAAAGGTAGATAGTTTCAAATATCTGGGAGTAGAACTTAATAAATAAAATAATTACTATAAGAAAATATGATTACAAATTAAGACCGAAAACGGGTGCAATTTAAAATTGCGAAAAATCTTGAGATAGTATTATCAAGAAAATCAAAAATAAGATTGTACAAAATTTTACTTGGACCAGTGATTTTATACACACGTGAAAATTGGCCATCTCAAAAGAAATGCTGAAGTCAGATACTTTGGTGTGATAATTACATATTCAAAAAATAAATAAATATAAATATCAATACACTTGAATAAGATACAGAAGTTCAGTCATATTTTGGGTAATTAAATCTGTTTAGAGTTCTTAAATGTGATGAAATTGACAATATTTTAGTCTATTGTGCGCAATATAAATTGATACTTCTGATAATGTGAGTGTAGAGTTCACTTACTGCATAGTCTATACCTAATAGAAAACAAAACAAAATATTTGTATAAGAAAAGTTTTCAGTATAAATTAATATTACAATAATATTATTATGTACTCACAATATTTTAGTTGATCAATACCAAATCAACTTGGTTGTTAACTCTTTAAGATAATAATAACAAATAATTAAAGAAAAAACAATTTTCGTGAAAACAGTATTTTATGTTTATTAATGCTGTAATGAATTCATAATTATATGAATAATTCAATTTCTAAATGAAATGATTGAAGTAGTAGAATTAATAATTGATGGCAAATTACATAGGATCAAATATAAAATTTGAAAATTGAAATTTGATAATTTACTTTTAATCAAATATGATAATTGATAATATAATTAATTGATAACTCTATGGTTGATAATAATAATAATTTCGTACGTCCCGCACATGTCACGGTGATGTTGTCTACACTGAGACGGACCTACCCATAACTGTATAACCTAACCGCGTCGGTAACTTCAATTACAAAATATCGAACATCAACAAATTCGACAACATAACCTAAAAAATTTATATGTAATATTTCCCTTCGCTATTGCTTTCCACGTTTGGAAATTTTAGCTGCTCTTCGTTCGGAAAATTTGCAGTTATTTTCGCCTTCAACTACCTATCGTCTGTCGGATAATTACAATTCAATCATGGTATGTACTTTAGAATTAGCAACGATCGCCAATTTGTATTTGTTTGATAATTATTATTTTTCGTTGACCAGAAGTAAAGAAATGAACATCTTTCGCCGTAACAACGTTGTTTTGTGTCGTGCTTTAGCGTTCGCTTCTATTATAATTAATCTTATAAACGTTTTGTTTTCCAACTGTTTATTAATGTCGTGATAATATTTTTCACCCAAAATTAAAAATTAAAAAACTGGTCTCTGGTGTGAACGATCTAAAATGCCTGTTATTTTTGCATAGATGTTTTTCTATTCGTTATCATAATGTTCTTCTAGCAACGTTCTTGTATAACTTTAATCTTGATTAAGTACCTCACGCTTAAAAACGATCATAAATGTATTATAGAAATTGATATGCACAGTTCCTTAGGTTATTGTATTGTATAGAGCCATTTAATTTGGTTATTGATTTCCATTCCTGTCATTAATATTGATTAGCTATAATATGGGATCAAGAATGATATAAAGACTAATTCAATTTTGGAAGTACCTAATTTATAAATTTTTTTATTTAAGTACTTATGCCAAATTAAGAAAAATAGATTACACTGATAAATGTTTGTCTGATTCAAGATTTTTAAAAAAATATTTAATAATTGTTGATTTACATAGGTATGACTATTATTGCAAATATATACAATATGTACATTTGTTGTATTATTAAATTTTAAACAATTTATTTGTGGTTACACCAATTACTGTACCTACTAGAAGCCTGTACGATTCTGACCAAGCAGTAAAATAGTTGGTCCGGGTTAAGTATTAGATATCAATTAGATTAGACTTGGCTACTCTGCAAATCCGATTATCATTGTGAAAAGTATTTTATTTAAACAGTTTATGTACCTACTTTACTAAAATTTTAAATAAAGAAACTATTTGATAGGATCTAAAAAATATTTTAATATACATTTAATGATTGATTTGTTAATAGCACGTAGATACTACCTACAGAGTTATAATGTATAGTTAATCCTGGATTGGACCAAATAACCTAACCTCGCCTAGATCGGACTGGTTTATATATTATTTCACTAGACTGAACTGGTATTAGGACCAGTCAAGCCTAATTTAAAAATTGAATTTGAACAGATATGAGTTGAAGTCCAGTTGAGGCCTGTGCAGGGCTCTAATACCTACTGGTCTTCCAACACATTATCACTGTGTTGTTATAATTTATACATTTTACATCTGATTTCATACTATAAATATTCTCGGGGGAATAATTTTGTAAATAATATTTTTTCTCCCTCAATAGTCTTTCCTAAGAACAACTTAAAAATCATAGTTATCTGTATCATAAAAGTAACATATTGCACAGTACCTAAATAAGAAATTAAATTCATTTATTTTTGGCTATTATTTATATTATTTTTTTTTTTACCTGTCCAAATTCCTAAATTTTTACTAGTTTGTTATTTCCCCGGCCTTAAAGGTTTTTACCTAACTCAGGTTTGCAGAATAATACCGAAACAATTTTCATGCGTCTAAAATATGTATATGGAGTGTACGATGTTATGAACATAGTTTAGTCTTGAATACTTACACCAATTATAAATGCCATTTTTCTTTATGACATACTCTTTTGTAACAATGCAGCCCTTTTAAGAACATTTCATGAAAGTTTTCAAATGAACAAGTCGTTAGAATCTTATTGAGTTAAACATTTTCATCTAGTATTTAGATGAATACATTTTACAAATTTATTTTTAAACAACTACCTATAGAATAAAATTTACTGTGATATCACATTCAATGAGGAATTTTTGCTCATCAAATTGTCTGATAAAACTAAATTCTATCTGTATAGGAAGTTTTTTCTAGTATTTAAAATTAAATAATAGCTAAGTTATAACAAACTTGAGTGGCAAGGTCATACATTTTTACAACTTGGTAAGATGACAACAAACCAGTACCCCAAAATTGACTAAACTAGTAAATAAATGTAACTTTAATGTGTAATAGTCTAAAAAAAAAAAATATTTTTTTATGGTTTACACTATAAATTTAATTTTACTAAATAATAGTTTATATTAATAAAATATAATTTTCTATTTGATGTTCAAAAATAAAAGATAAGTTTGACTAACTTTTCTCATAAAAAATTTAGTAGGACAAAAGTAAATAATTTTTAAATTTTGAATGTAAATTTTATTGAGTTATTTTATTTTTTCAGGATATGGAATTTAAAGATGTTGAAACCGCCCCTACTGATCAAAAAAGGCACAAGATCCGTATCACATTGACTTCAAAGAACATTAAAAGTTTAGAAAGCGGTAATATATAGTAAAAATTCTGTATGTGGATATGTTTAATTAAATGAAATTGTGTTTTGTAGTGTGTTCTGAAATGATTTCTGATATTAAGAAGAGGAAACTGCCAGTTAAAGGACCAGTACGTATGCCAACCAAATTCTTGCGCATCACAACCAGAAAAACACCTTGCGGTGAAGGTTCAAAGACATGGGATAGATTCCAAATGAGAATCCACAAGAGGGTGATTGATTTAAAATGTCCCAGTGACAAAGTTAAACAGATCACCAGTGTCAATCTCGAACCTGGTGTAATAGCTGAAGTTAGCATTGCTAGCGAGTGATGCATTTTTTTATAATATTGATTGATTGATTTGTATGGTATGACAACTAAGATCACGTCTAATAAAATTTAAAAATTACATCATATTTGTTTGTTTTCTATAATTAATCTTTAATTGGTAACATTGGTAAACATCAGATCTGGTTCACAAATATGTTTGTATAAATATGCCCATCTCTTTACCGTGTTTAATAATATTATAATTTAAACATTTTAATACATTAATTCTAAATAAATATAGATATAGGAGTAACTATTTTAAAATGAATTATGGCTTTTGTTAGTTTAAATATTTTAAATATTGTTGACTGTTTATGAATGTCATAGAATAGCAACAGATATGCCATGTATTTTTATCAGTTATTTAGTCTTATTTCTATTGTCTGTATACACAAAAGTTGGTTTTCCAGCCATTTCTCAAATAGAAAAAACTTAAATATTAGTATTTGTCCTTTGAACATTTCTTGGTTATAGAGAGGTTGAACAAATTAATACAGTTACGAAGGCTAGATATACATTAATATCATTATGAAAATAGTTATTACATATTAAACTTCTAGGGTTTTACAGTATTTCAAATGCTAACAAAATGATAAAAAATTAAATGCTTCACAAATAATGTTATCTTTTAATATATGTTGAAAATACCATGTATTTATTTTGATTGTAAATATTTCATGTTAGAGTAAATCATATTTTACATACAAATTTCATAATTATAATAATAATAATAGCAGAGAATCACTTTAAAATTTATTTAAATATTTTTGAGTTTATAAATTTTCAATTTTTTAAGAATTTCTGTTATACAATACCGTCAAATCGACATACTTCGGGCAAAAATATCAGTTTCTGATTTTCGCGTTGTAACGTCGTACTATTATATTTTATTGTTATAACTCATATTATCAAATACTTTCTTTGCAAAATTTGACGTCAAATTATTACATGAAGAGATATAATTTTCATTAATTATGTTTTAAATTATTAATAAAGTAGTTGTTATTTGGTTATTTCTATTGTTTGTATACACAAAAGTTGGTTTTCCAACCATTTCTCAAATAGAAAAAACTTAAATATTAGTATTTGTCCATTGATAAAATAATTAAATATATATAACTTACGTGTAACTTAGGGAATTTTTAGTCCATGTTGCAAACCAATAATTTTAATCATTTATTCAAATATAACTATAATTTATCGCCTACAATACTTATAATAATTTTCTTGTACTATTTTAATAACATATTGATTACATTTACTAACTCAAAATAATTGACTGTACTGTTTAATTTTAATAATAACTTTAAAATTGCATATTTTCACATTATTTTGTAAACCTAGTTAAAATTTATGGGTTACCTGATAAAATTAACTAACTATATTTGTTTTTTCGTTACTTCAAATTAAAATTTAAAACTGCCCCAAGTAACCATATTTGACAATACCATTAAAATAAGATTTTCTCCCCACAAAATTGTATCACGTTTTGCTATCATTTTTCATTTTTCACTTACTGAATTATAGGACTTCATCACTAACATTAATTTTCCCCATCTATCTCGGCATAATATTATATTACAATATAACTACAAACGCATTCAGCATTTTTACAATTGTGATTGGCGTAGAGTTTTTGGTAAAAGAGCAAGTACATTTATTTAAAGAATGGTTTTTATTATGCATCATACAAATAATTTTAATTTTTTATCAAGATAAACGGGCTTTAATTTTCTCTAAACTTTTAACTATTAATAACTTATAAGAAATAAAAATATTCTTAGAATCAATAGTGAATACTACTATTATTCATAAAATGTAAAGGTCTCTTTGCTTTAGTATGCCGCGACAGAAAACAAATGCTCTGTCGCGTGCATATTAAATCAAATTTTAATGTCGGCATTTTAAATATATTTATTAACATACAAATTTATCTAAATAATCTGTTTAAACTTATATATTATTTAATACTCTAACATTGATTAAAAAAATATATCTTAATCTCAAAATGTATTGTGTATTTTATAAAATCTTTTTTAAAAATGAATAAAATTGCATATAGATTTTTAATAAGTACCTAGTATTTTGGTTACTTTTTATTGTTAGGCAACTAAATTTTCAAAAACACTTTATACTTATGAGGTTGTCATACCTATATCCTACTATATAGAATTTTTGTACACATACAGAAGAGAAAAAAAAATCATTGTAAAACCAATACTTTTTTCACTTCACTCAGAATTTAAAATTGCCATACAAAAAATCAACATACAGCCTATAAATATTTTCTCTTTAGTAAGTCTAACTTTGGGTTAAATTTAGATATTGAGCACAAATTAAAAAAAATTTGAAAGAAAAAATATTTATAGGTTGTATGTTGATTTTTTTGTATGGTAATTTTAAATGAAACAAAAAAAGTATTGGTATTACAGTAAAGATTTTTTTTTTCTTTATACTATGTACAATAATCCTATATCTGTTTTTCAAAAGGGAATTTTATCTATTTGATATTTTAGGGAGGTAATTGTTTTATTTTCCGTGCAGTTTTCCGAATTGGGGGAAAAACTGACTAATTTACCAAAAAATAATGCTTTTATTAATTTGTTTTAGTTGAATTTGAAATGTTTATTTGGTCTAAATTTGGACAAAATCTTTGTGTTTAAATTTTCTAGGCATGGTAAAATGTTAATCCATTTTTGAGCAATTTATAGACATTTTAATTTTGTGAATTTTTAATATAATTTTTATTTAGTAAGTACCCAGTGTGTACAATTTTAAGATCATACAGAAATGCTTAACAGGAGGTTTATTGTTAGTCGTATTTGTAGTTATTAATGTAGTATATTATTTTTTATAAGAATTTTAATATCAAATTTGGATATGACAATCAAGCATAATGACCTTTTTTAACATGTATATTGTATAACTGAACTCTGCTCAGCATCATTTTTCATTAGAAATTATTAATCATTGCATACAGATATACATTAAATTTCTTTCTATATCCTACCTTCCCCACTTCTCACCTATAACGGTGTCCCACCCATCATGCAATGTATGTACGCCTTTTTTGAATTACACTAAACTTCTTAATTTAACCTAAATGTTACAATTTATATTTACAAATTATATAATTTTGCTATGTTGCCTGTTAGAGTGAGACAGATGCGGGTATAGTGTCCTTTGAATACATTGCTGTAGACAAATTTGAATGAAGAAAAATTACTAAAACGCTTATTTAGAACCTTTAAAATAAAAAATATATATAGATGATTTAAAGTAATTGGACAATGCTATATGTTATTAAATTTAAATTGTACCTATTATTATCATTTCTCTAATCAAAATATAATTGAGATATATAAAAAAATGTTATTTTTTTTTAAATATTCTTATTATATTTTTTAGAACTATTTATTTAAGCTCTGCATATTTTGTATTCTGATGTTTTCAAATTGTTTCATATATGACACACCATCTTAGGTCTTTCATCAATTCATCCTTCAATATTATTGTTCAATTCACTTCCTTTATTTCCTAAGCATGTTTTATATATTGGTTTTTGTGTTTCATACAAAGAACTATCTCTCATTATTTTCGTCTATGAAATTCTAAGAGCTCTTATACAAAATTATGTTTTACATTGCTTCAATTTTATTAACTGTATTTGATTGTACATTTTATCACTCTATACTATGGTTATGATAAAATCTCTTGAGGTCTAAACAAAACTTATCTTGTTTATGGTAAAGTGGTTCTAATTTTTATATGAAGTTATTTTGCTACATTACTTTTGATGTTCATCATGCTTCAATGCTTTATCCATTGCTTGTAAATTTGCTTCCTATATCTTCAATATTATTTATAAAAACGTTCATATAGGTAATATTACTTTTAGAAGACTTGTCAAAATTGGACATAATAAAATCTAAATTTAATAATGAGACTTTATTTAATTGTTAACATCAATTGTGATCTTGTAGATAGGTAGGTACTACATACTATGATTTATTTTTTGAATAAAAAATTCTTAATAATACTCCGTATGAAAATCGTTATACGATTTTGTTTTAATAATTATCATTAGGTGCATATCATTATAGTTTATAATGTTTACCTTTTACAGTATTTTTAGAAGACATATTTATATAAAATACATGTTTTTTAACATGACATTGTCATAAATGAAAAATTGTCAGAAATCAGACAACACAAAACACAATATGTGTATAATATAATTTATCATTATGACATTCTTTGTACTATTAAAAATAAAAACAATTTGTTATGATTTAAATCAAAACCAGATGTTTTCTACTTCTACAGGGCTTTCCGTCTATTACGGCGGTTCCCAACCCACGGGCCACGAGCATCGTGGTACTGGGTTGTGAACCATATACTTTTAAATATTATATATATTTAAAATAATATTACATATTTTTATTATATACCTAAAAATAGTTTTGGTTATAATATTTATCAATATTATCTACAGTCTACAGTGACCAATTAGTATATAATTAACAATATTTTTGGTACCCTCGGCATTCTTAAATTAACATCGCGAGGCAAAGACCTTTATAAATTTTCTGTGCAAGACAAAGTTGATGAAATGGTAATCAAGCTTCAACGATGGGCTCTAAAATTAGAACAAGGTTCCTTCAACGTATTTCCAGTCCTACATGATTTTCTTGAAACCAACGAAGTCAACATTGATAAATCAACAACTACAACTATAAGAGATCACCTCGAATCTTTATCCTCCAACCTCAGGTTATTTTTAACTATTTATTTTTTTATTAAAATATTAATATTTTTTATTAACGTTTTCACATCCTTTTTAGGAATTACTTCCCTAAAATTGAAGAGGAAATCCAGTGGATCAGAAATCCTTTTGAAGAAGATTACTCGAAATAATTGAAAATATAAGCAAGTGAAGAAGATTCGTTGATTGAACTTTCACGTGATCAGACTCTAAAATCGTTTTTTAAAAGCACACCATTAGTGCCATTCTGGTTAAATGTTCAGAAAGACTATCCAACAATCGTTAAAATTGCACTCAGAAACTTAATGGACTTTTCAACAACTTATCTGTGTGAACGGGCTTTTTCTACTTATATAGTATATATAGAATAAACTGAATGTTGAGAATGATTTAAGATTAAAACTATCCAGTTTTAAAGTGTTTTTCTTAATAAACAATTGATTTTTTAATTCTTTTATTTCTAATAACTTTCGTATGTATTTTTATATATGTGCTTACATATGTAGATGGGCCTAAAAGATTTTTTAACAAAATTGGTGGTCCGCATAACTAAAAAGTTTGGGAACCGCTGATCTATTACATCACAACTATTTTAAATACAGTTTTACAGTAAGTCTATGAGTCACCATAATGTATAGATAAACATAGTTATATGCATTTATTTATTAATATTTATAAAAAAACAACCAAATTGGTACCTACCATTATTTTTTTTAATAGGTACCTATATATTAAATTTTTAGATTCTGAATATAGCAAGGAATGATTTGATGTATATGTTTTACTAAATGTGTGATTTTTTTTTTTCTGTCTGAACAATTTTTCTACCAGAAATTTGTTGCTCATATCAAAAAATGTATTATTTTTTTACTACATTTTTGATCTAGTTGGTAAATAAGTCAATTTTAATTTTCCAACCAGTTTTCATAAAAATTGGAAATGAAAACTGGCTAATTTACTTCTTTATGATTTAATTATTTTAAATTCTTTCTGATTTTCTTTACTAGGAACCGGAATTATTGTTCCAAATTTTAAGAGTACCTACCTTCCATTCACAAGTTGGTGGTAAAGAAAGTTGTGTTAACCTATGATTACTTATGTTATTATAATTTATTATGGGTTTTTTTTTTTTCTGGTTTCGAGTGTACAGAATTCTTTTGGACCATCAAAAATGTTAACAATTGTACACTAGGTTCATCATAAGCCCATATTTCGGCATGATTACTACTTTAAAATGCTTAAAAATGTATACTGGCCTGTGGTGCTTATTGTAAGAATTAATCAGATCGTAGGTGATATGAGAAGTGTGTCATAGCATAAATTATTGTATAATGAAACTGAAATCCTTTGTACAAAATTAAATATTAATCTACGAGGCAAAAATAATGAAAAAAAAATTGAATAGGCTACTCATATATTGCATCTTATGTCAGGTGAACTGGATAGAAGATTTATTAACAATTCAGATACTTAAGGTATCGGTTCATTCGATCCACAATCAAATTCATTTTTAGATTATTCATTGTTATTGTGTTTTTCAGTATTATAATAATTGTGAGATTGATAATTTAAATTCTTTTGATGAGAGTTTAAAAATGTTGCAAAAATCAAATAAAAATAACGGATACAATTATACAGCAAAAATAAATGATAATTTTACTTTAAATATTTTTAAACGAATATTAAATAGCCTTTTCGTAGATATAAACTGTGTACAATTGCAATCACAATTACTGTGTTCTCAGTTTGGCGTGAAAGTACCTTTTCTTGTTTAAAACAAGTCAAAAATGGTAAAAGAAATAAACTATTAAACAAATACGGCACAATCAGGTGTGTCACATCCGTTCCCGGTACCTACCATCAGTATTAAAATTCTTCAATAGTAGGTAGGTAGGTAGGTAGGTACTTAAATATTAGAATCCAAATACTAGCTTATATCCAATGGACACTTTTACAATCCCTGCTGAACGTAATTATGTGTTTTGCTTCATAATTATAGGGCAAAACACAAGTCTCTATAATATTTTTATAGAATTTCGAAACAACAAGTAATGTTAAAACGCCCGAAGAATTCATCGTTCCACGTGCAAAATACCTATACCTATACAACAGTGGTTTTCAAACAAGATGCCGCGAGCATTCACCGAGTGCGCCGCGGTCTTCTGAAAATCGTTTTCATAAATCACCGGTTGTATTGAATTGTGATATGCAAATTAATAGAATCAATACAACGCGTTCACTCGTTATACGTTTGTTACTATTTATGTGTTAACAAATTGACAGTTTGTAGGGATAAAGCGATTAAGACAAGTTATCTTCGATAACTGTTGAACAGCAAAATGTATAAGTAATATTATTAGTCCCCGGTCGGTATATTCGTCGATGCCCCGGCTTGTCCGTTGATTCGTAATATCGTTACTTGTTTGTCACGTGGTCCCGTATATCTATTGATTCTATTTAACAGCGTACAAGTATTTTATTATTTTTTTTTTTTTTCAAATGCATTCGTGATATTTATTCACTCGCCTATAATAATAGTTATTCGTATCGATGAATTTGTAACTCGGCATGTTGACAATAATGTTTCAGTGAGTCGGCCATCGAAAAATAGAAAACCTAAAATATTAGTAACGGTGTCAGTATCACGAAGATCACTTGAAAATAGGTGGTTTGGTATCAAAATGTACGATCGTCGTCTACGGTGTCGCGGTAAAATATCAAAAGAGTCATGGTGCGCCGCGTTTAATAAAAGTCTGAAAACCACTGCTAAACAGGGCCGTAAAGACGAAGAGCAAACCGACACGTCGAGTAATCGATATCACAGAGCATCGGACGCACGTAGGTATTGGGCATAATATGAGTTCACGCCAATGATTAATTCATTAATTAATTATTATGAATTCGTTACGTAAATCAAAACCGCTTGTACGCGCCCGCGGACACGCGTTGTTCGTTATGCCGGTCAAAACAAATTCTCGTCGAGTAAATAATCGATTATTATTAAAAGAAAACGAGTGTAGCAGACGTTTTTTAGCACGTTATTAACGACGTTACGACTGTGTACAGCGATTGGATTTCGAAATGCTGAAGACCTCTGCAACGTCAAGTCGTACGGTTTCTCGGCGGTTTTTCCTACACCGAGCCGGACGAAACGTTTGCGCGGCGACAATATTATCGGGAATCTATTGTCGGTTACGACGATTGTGACGTCGGAAATACGACGCGTTCGCCTCCTTTCGCGAATTCGGATTTCGCGACACGTTGCGTGTAGACGCGCGGTTCCGATGTTCAAACTTCGCGGCCCGCCAGAGTTACGCGCGTACGTACACCATAACATCGTTAATTCATAACGCATAATTATACAATACGCGCGCTCTGCACGAGCGAACCCGGCTCTTGTACGGGTGCGATACGCAGAAAAGTAAGACGGCACGCGAACCTGTCGTCTGATGTTGTCGCGCAATTCATTTATAGTACGGTGTCGTGGCCGATTGTTAATTAATTAATACGCCGCACCGTAACCGCCACGGACCCCGCAGTCGCTCTGCCCGACGGCCGGGGAGGCTGTCTGCCGTTTTATTTGTCCGGCAAAGTGGATATTCTCTCCTCGACCCTTCTCCCCGCCCCCGCCCCCCATTCATCTTTGGAAGGTTTGATCAAACCTGCAAATACCTACTACAGACATAAACGATAATCGGTACGGGGCTGAAAAACCGGACGGGTTGACCGATTATGAACAATTTCCCCCGGGAATGCAACACGTTAAATTGCCGACGTCACTCGTCGGTATATTGTTTTTTGGTACAGCCGAGGTTAAATAAATACCGTTTTATTATTAGAACGTTTTAAATTTTAATCCGCTTCGCAACGTGGTCACGGGGATTACGGTTAAAACATTCGGACACGGCATCCCGATTGCGTTTATCTAATGCAGCGGTTCCCAACCTGGTGCTCCGCGATCGCTTACCAAGGGCTCCGTTCGTAACACCGCAACAAATTTAAAAATTGTTCGTTATTTTAAAATGAATATGCATTTCGTGAAGACTTGGATGCCATAATTCACCGATGTGTATACTGCGTAAAATACCGATAAGAAAATTGTATACAATTATCTAATTTTAGAATTTCAGATAATACGAAACGATGATAAATTGAAACGACCACCCGAGGACTCGGTCTGTTGTTTATTATGTTATAGAAATATTTATAGAATACGCATTATTTTTGTTCGCCACGTTTCACCATTTAATTTAGGTTCGATTCTCAAATTACATTATTCTTATTATCAGTTAATTGTGCGTATGTACGAACGACCCAGTGTATTTTTACTGAAATGGAACGGTGGTTTATAACGGGCTCCGTAAGACCTGAAAAGAGTTAGCCGACAACTATTGCTCAGCCGAAGAAAGATAACAATAATTGTAGTAAAAATAATTCCTTAGAATTACATTCGGAACATGTTGTACATAGTTCTATTTTAGAATCTACGATACCCGATGTAGATATTCGGAAAGGAAGCAAAAAACGAAAATATTGCGAGTCATATTTAGATATGGGATACACTGAATTTGCTGATGGACGTCCTCAGTGTGTGACATGTAACAAAGTTAGCCACCCGAGGTTCTTATTGATATGGTTTCGGATAGCTGCTATCAGACATTATTTAAAAGCAAACCAATATCTGAACTTTGGGCTCAATTAGGGGAAGATCGTTCAATATTAAGTTCAAAAGCTAAACTGCTTTTACTGCATTTTGGTACTACGTATCTTTGTGAAACGGCTTTTTCGAGGTACACAGCTACAAAAACAAAATATCGATCACGTTTGGATGCGGAAAACGATATGCGTCTTCAGTTGACTTCTGTGACACCGGACATCGACAAACTCGGTAGTAAAAAGCAGGCCCAATGCTCACATTAAGACATTTTGTAAATTTAAATAATAAATAATATTTTTTGCAGTTCTTTTATTGCTATTGTTTCACCTGTATTCAAAAATATAATTTTATTTTGACTCTTGTATATATACAATTCGTGTTTATTATACATCATAGAAGATAGAACACAGGCAGATAAAAATTAACGTTAAATATTTCATGGGGGCTCCACGAGAAACTTTTTTTTTAAAAAAAAGCTCCGAGGCTGAGAAAGTTTGGGAACCGCTGATCTAATGCATCCCGTCCAATGCGTGTTATTGGTATAGACAGGTACCTAAAATGAAAACAGAAAATCTATCGATTTGCGGCAATTGATGTGAGGTCCATTCGTTGTTTAATGCGTATTATAATTTTAAACGTTTTTCGGTCAGGTTGGACTGGCTGCATAAATCATCTATGCCCTGGTTCAGTTGGTTTTATACGAGTTGACGAATTGAATTGTAACGATGTTTATAATGTTTATCAGATGAAAAACGAGAAACGGTTGGGAGAGTTGGATAGGCATGTCTGTCAGTTTTTCGTATTTTAATGAAAATTCTGGACGTTTTTGTGATTTTATCAATAGAAAGATCGTTATTAAGTTTTTGGGCCGTCCCCTGATAGTACTGCGGTACGATGCCGGAGCGACCCACGGAAAGCCCCGTAACCTCTGGCACTGTTCGACAAATCAAATTCAATATGAATTGTACGTTTATCCGCAATTGAAAATGATTTGATGTAAAAACAGATATCAAAATAACTTCGCTGGACCGTTTATGAGATTCCGTGACCGCAGTCGCGGTTACGGTGAACCATTAACAATCGGTGTACGCAACCCAATATGGGCCGAAAGACGCGGATTAGGATTCATATCTTAATCCGCGTCGAGAGGCTAGTCAGCACAAGCGTGCGCAGGTGCTCTTGGTAGGGGAGACGATGATTTTTGAAATCAAATCTTATACGACAATTTATTGATTACTTAATATTACTAATTTGTTTTTTTTTTGGCTTTTTGGGGCAGCCTAGCTAAGTTTTTTTGGGGGAAGAGAAATTGTCCAAAGCTCCCCCCCCACACTATACACGAAATCACGGGGACGAACACGGTGGTATGAAATTGATATTTAACCGCCAAAACCAATTAAAATGAAAAATGTAAATTATTATTATTGAATCTCCCTATTTTCACTCTTTTCAAGCTCTGTTCCTGATGCGACCTTTACACCATTATCCCTTCATAAGTGCCCTGCCCATTCTGTTCGTTTGCTTCTGATAAATGCTTTTATGTTAGGTTTTTGAAATAGCTGATCGATTTCTTCGTTCGTTCTCATTCGGTATTCTCCATTTTCAGGAATTGAGCCACGGATTCAACGGACTACTTTACTTTTAGATATTAATAATTTCTCTTCATCTCTTTTTGTCACCGATCACGTTTCGCAACTATTATGCTAGTACTGGACGTGGACAACTCAAGTATAAGTTAATCTTTGAACTTATCGATAGAAATTGCCGCAGAGCACCTACCAGTTAAAAATTACGCAAAAACTCTCAAAATTAAAATGTTTATAAATAGCTCAAAAATGGCTAAGATATTTTTTAAATTTTACCTCGTCGTCTAGGAAAGGCAACTATAAGTTATTCTGTCAATATTTCATAACTCTACGAATATTTTAAACCGAATTTCAACAAAATAACAAAATTGAAAAATAATAAAAGCATTATTTTCTCGTTTTTTCTATGTTTTTTTCGGTTTCTTCAAATTGTTATGAAATCAAATAACGTCTCACTTCCTCACCAACTAGATTCGAAATGAAACAAAAAAGTTCACTTCTCATCTTTTGGTTAAAGCAATATTTCTGATAAAAAAACATCGTGGGTAAACATTTAAAACCATTAAATCGGTAGGTAAAGTCGAGGCGCGCCGTAAATATTTGCCGGTTTACCTATAATTTTGTTTTCGGTTTTTTCTCAATTATTTTGAAAACCCCTTGAAAATCAAAACACGACCTCTCTAATGCGCCAACTGGATACAATTTTCTTTCAGAAATGGTGTTTCGCTTGATACATCAAAGTAATTTTTCTTTTTGGACAGTCGTTTACAGACAAAGTAAATATGACATAATGCGACACATTGGCGCGTATATTTATAGTAAAACCAATAGATTCATCGTTACGCTTCGAATCCAAAGCAATACTGAGACACGGGTTTAATAAAAAACGTGTTTTTTTTTTTTTTCTACAAACCGGGTAAATAGATGGTGATCGGCGTAGGTTCGAATAACGCGACCAATCGGCTGCCATCGAGTAAAAATTAACTCGGTGGCTCGCGAAGGTACGCGTACATTAGCAAAAACACCGTGTGCTCGTAAAGTGCGCGTTTTAACTATCGGGCGTACAATCGATATAACACAACAATATTATTATTGTATTGCTGAGAAACAAAAGGATTGTGGTTTTTTTTTTTTCTTTTTTTTCTCTTTTTGGCGAACCGTTCCACCCGCGCGACGTATTGGCAACGAAAAGACGCGTTTCCCAAAACGTTTTGTTATAGATATAGAGGCGCTTATAAGTATTTGTTTTATATTTGCGCTTTTTTTTTTTTTTTCTCAATCGCCGTCTCTTTTCCTTTATTTTTTTCGACCACTTCCTTCACGCACGACGACTCACGCAAATAATAATAATACAAGTTACCGTTGTACCTACGGGCCGTAGTACACAAAACAACTCGACGAGACGAGTGTTGGCTCGCGTGCGATTGTGTTGCAACACGGCGCGTTTTTTGGCGACCGAAGCCATTGCAAAGTATACACGACTTGCGCGTGCGTGCGCGTACACATCGTTGTATTGCGCGTACACAAACGCAATACACGTTACACGGGTACATATTATTTCTAAAGGCGAACCCGCGATCGTGTCTGAGCGCACGCGGTTTTATATATATACAATAGAACACTCTGAAAAGAATACAATATACATGTATACATTTAGTGTGTGCGCGTGCGCATGTATGTGCACGCGCGTACTTCCGACCGCGAGCGTCCTGTACAGTGTGGACACGCCACGTTACGCTGTACGGCGGCACGACAGGGATAATACCTATAGACGCGCCCGTGTAACGGGGGTGTATAGACGGAACTCGAAAATTGGACGGATACCAAAAAAAAAAAATAAAAAAATAAACGCCGTCCAGTTGCCGCAGTGTTTTCGCGGCCAAATCGACGGGACGGCGAGTTTCCGCTCCGGATTCGACGCGTGTGTAGGCGGGTCTTTACGTGCAAGCGTATACTTTCTGGCCTCAATGTCCAGCGAGTTCCTTCGGCTTCCGCAACTGGAACCGCATTTCGGGGTGCCTAATACTTGTGTGCGTAATAGTATTATCATCGGGACTAGACATCCGTAGACATTAAACCTTTTTTTTTTTTTTTCTAGGATCTCATCAGTAGATGATTGACTAGTGTGTAATACAAAATTTCAGTTTCGTGAGATTTTCTGAACTGGAGTTATAGCTAAGTGAACTAGACAAATTTGGTTTTCCTGTTATTTTGAAAATAAAAATGCCAATAATTCATTAATTTTTTTTGGCTACTTGAAATGTATAAAACGAAAAAAAAAATGAAATACCTAATTGTTAAGTCGCATATTAAGATAATAAAAAAAAATATATATATATATTTCATATATTATACACATATATTACATATAATATATGTGTTTATTTAAATTTTAAAATTAATTATCTGTACACAATTTAATAACACAATGTGTACAATTGTTATTTACGAGTTGTTAGACGTTAAGGACCGTTTGATGGGGTAATCAGTAAATAGAGTTAAATAAAAGTAAATAAAGTAGCATTAAGGAAATAAAGTTTTATCGGAAATCCAGTATTTCATTTGAACAGTTACGGTTATCATCAGTACACTATTACGGCGAGACATAATATTATGCCTCGCGGTGTTATAAACACACTTATCTGCAGTGTGCATTCATTTATACGAGTACCTGTTGCAGTTTCATAAAGGTTAGTATTACGTTTTTGTACTGTGACGAATATTATAAAACTACGTTTCATGAAGTTTACTTACAATCTTGTATTTAATAATTTTAATTTTTACTGTTATACTTTACAGTTCACCATGGACAGTCCTAAATAAAGTAAGTTTTTTTAAAAACATTTTATACTTAAACACTATGAACTTGTAAATATGAGATCGAAGCCTGAAGCCTAAATTGTTACGAAATAATTAAATTACCGTTAAGGATTTAAATTAAATAAACAGTTTTCAAGTTATAATTTTTTTCTAGGCTCTGATAATGATTATCTAATTTTTTCTCTTGGAATTCGAGCCTGGTTCACAACTCTTTAAAATAGGCTAGTCATAAGGATTATAAAAATATTCGAGAACATCATACACGAAAAAACTGTAGACAAAACACCAATGAAGATCTTTTAAATATGTTGTTTGTTTCATCTGATCCATGTATTCGTCGCTAAAAAATGTTCTGATGACGTTCTTACATTAAAAATTATAAGTAACAACGACGAATATGATACCTCAATAATTCATTTGTTGAAATAAATATGAGTATTTAAACCAAAACTAATATTTCATAAAATGTCTATTAAATTTTAAAATTTGAAATCTTAACAAATGTTAAAAAAACACCTTTTTTTTTATGACAATATGATTTTTGTGCATTTCAGGTGCAACGAGACGCAACAAAAAATAATATATTCTTATAGTTGAGAACTTCCTCTACAAAATTAATTTATCGGGTAAACTTAGGTAAATTTTTACTACAGTCCTTGAAAAAAAAAAAAACAACAAAAACGTTCGATTTTTTTTATGATTCATAAACTTTGAGAACTTAAATTTAAATTTAAAAAAATATTTTATTTATTATCTTTATATTTGACTTAACAATTAGGTATTTCACTTATTTTCATTTTATAAATTTCAAATAGCTAAACAAAATTAATTATCGGCATTTTTATTTTCAAAATAACAGAAAAAACAAAATTTGTCTCTTTCACTTTTGTATTTATACCAACAATCATCTACTAATGAGATCCTAGAAAAAGAAATTAATTTTTTTCCACCTAAATTTTATTATCAGACCACTGTGCGCTCAGAGTTCTCTGCCACGTCTATATAAATCAGATTCAACGTATATAACGTATATAACGTAATATGATACAGGATGTCCTACAGTGTTATCCGAACGCTAACAACTGTCAATAATCAATTTTTTTTTTCAATCTGACTTTGTGTTAGGGGGGTGCAAATTAAGACAAAAATTAAGGAAATTAAACATAGTAATAGCCGTATCGTTGTGCCATAGTTGTAGCTGACGAAGTTGTAATAGAATTTAGTGGATTTTTGTTTAAATCTAATGGCCGGTTGCGCAAAAAGCTTTTAACGGGCTGTTATCCTTCATAATACATAGGTTAAGTATAACAGATTGTTAAAATAGTTTGATAGTGTAGTTTTGTCAACAATATAATATATGTCATTTTGTGGTAAAATGATTACAATATACGTTTCCATGACAACAACGATTGTTCAAAAAATATTAAAATAATACAAACTTAATAATAACAAAAAATAAATAAAAACGGTTGTCAATGATAACCTTAATTTTAATCTTTCCGTCTTTTTTAACCTACAGAACCAGGTTTTCCTCATTGTCTCGAATGTTAACGAGAATTTCAAAAAATTACCTCTTTAAAGTACCACCCGGAGAACATTCCCTTTCAGAAAAGGTGCTACATTAGATAATCGGATTATGCTTTCTGGCAGAAAAAGTGTTCACATAAAATAAAATAAACGTCATTGTATAACTAATACATTTCTCCCGACGTTCACAATCTAAAAACAATAATAAAATCTTACTACTATTAATAACGATTCGATTTATTGTTGTACAGTAGGTATTTGTTCGAAGATGCGGAAATCTGCATAGTAATAGTATTGTTTTAATCATGAAATTATTCGCGTCGATATAATAATAATAATTGTGGGTAGGTATCGGTGATTTTTATCATTTTTCTTTTAGAGTTTTCATTGAATCGCAATATTTTATAAGTATATTGAAATCTTTAGGGGAAAAAAAAAAAAACCAGAACATTCCCGTTTTAAGTTTTTGGTTCTTAATGCATCTTTTGTTAAATGTTCATTAAATTTTATGTATATTTAAAAAGAAAAAAAAAAACGAGAATTCTTTGCGATATTTTATTTGTTCGGAAATAATAATAACGAAAGAAATCAGCCGTTGTCGCATAAACTCAATAGTATCTATAGGTTTTAATTTTGCGCGATACGAATTTGTAATATACTTATATCGATATAATATTTTTGAAACGTCGAAGCGTAAAAAGTCGCTACGGATTTCGCGTGTTAAACTGAATGTATAAGTACCTAAGTGCCTATTAAATACCCCTGTGCTTATAAAATTATATATCGTTTTATTGTGGTTCTATTGTCAGGTTTTTTTTGTTTTTTAAACAATATAACATACAGTCGCTCTAAATCTTTAAATTGAAATATTGTAATATACATTCCGAATGATCAAGAGATTGTACATTTTTATCAGATCGGGTAGGTGAACGTAAAAAAAAAAAAAAAATAAGATGTATATTTTTTATGTTTGTGTTCCTCTCTTCAATGCAGATTTATTTGAAAACCTTTCAATTTACTTAATTATCTTATATTTTAAAAACGTTTTCTTCATTAAACGTCGACAGATTTATTAATTTCGGTATTCTGCAGATGTTTTTTTATTTAACAATATCTGGGCTGTAACAAAATTCACTTTTTGAGCATGTTTTCAAAACATTAACTCCTGTGGTGCGCGCTCGCGTGATAAAATTTACATTTTCCTTAACGAAAGTCGGAAACGCATATTTTTAACACCAGATTTGAATAGTTCTATTCAGTGTTTTTTTCAAACCTTCATTCCCGAGGGTGGGGGGGATATTGTAAATTTCGAAAGAGGTAGGTTATGTCAAAGGCACAACAGGATCTAGAAATTTGTACACCCGAGGAAAACTTTTTAAATTTCATTCGTAAATCAATAAAAATAATATGATGATCGACGTTCAGTTATGCTGTCACATGTTTTCATAAAAACAGAAAATTGATAATAAATACAAATAAAGGTATGCATAAAAAATATCTTTTGGAAAATCTACCGGAAAAGGGCGAATTTCAGATACAGGTATTCAAATAATGACGTCAACAAAATATCGATTCATTTTTATATAAGTAATAAATATATAAATTAACAATTGAATTATAAATCGTATAAAAATATAAATTGTTGACAAATACGCACATAATAAAGGTGTAAAAGGTATATTTTTTGTTAAATTTGTAAAAATGTCGAGCTATTTATAGACATTTAAATTTTGCGAGGTTTTTACGTAATTTTCAATTGATAGCCACTCTGTGGATTGTTATACGAAACAGGAATGCTTAGCAATTTAATAGGAAGTTTATTATTATAAGGCGCGTACATAATGGGCGAAATAAAAAATTGATTGTAATGCGTACAGACATAATTAAATTCTTCTCTGCATACTACCTTCCCAACTTCTCACCTACAACAGTGGCTCACCTATCGTACGAAGTATATCTCCGTCTTTTTAATTCTCATTTTTTTTTCCATATTTGAATAGAAAATATAATTCAGTTAACACTGACGGAAGAATAAGTGAATATTAAATTTAACATTCAGAGCGTGTGGAAGCATTTTATTGAAAATCGCTTGCCAGTAACGAAATGCTCGAAATATGTTCTTCGGTGCGTCGCATCGGACTGCCGGAGTTTCCTAAAAATAATATTAAAATAAATACCTTATTTCAGTCGAAGTATATTTGGCCGTAAAACTTCGTATTACCATTTGGTGAAACACTCTGTATAATCGAATATTATAAACTAATAACACCAAAACTTTTGCCAGACAAGCGAATACGCGAGAAAAATTATGAGATTTCATTGCGGAGTGTATTCTACAACTATATTGTTTTACCGTTTCGAAACTTTTGGATTAAATATTATTCATAAAGGCATTTACTGTGACGGTATATTTTATTCAACAAATACGATACAATTCAAATGTTGATGTTGATATAGAAGTTTAATGTTTCAAACAAATTTTAGAAATATGTCTAGTTACATACGAACTGTAGCTGCAGTCCGGATAAATGTTTTGAAAAGACAACAGTAAATCTCGTCATCATGTGAGTGCACACAGCAAACAGTCAACAATTTTAAATTTTCTCTTTTGCTAAATTTCCATCTCCCTCCCCTTGTTCCCTTTAAAACTAATAAAAAAATATTTTCCCCGTCGTTTCTTTGTCGTTTTAGTAAAGACTGAAAGACCATTTTTTCGCCACATGCTTTTTGCTTATGAACTAATTTTCTTAGTTCACAGTTTCAATTAAGTATCATTATCAAGACTAGAAAAATTTTTTTTCCAAACGTTATTTGTGCGCATCTTATAAAACAATTAACGTTAACATTAATTTATAATCATAAATAATTCGTATATTTTTATGTGCATATACAGTTAATATAATGCATTCTGCAATTAGGTGTGCTTTAACTATCTTGTAGTCTGATAAAAAAAAAAAAGTAATGATAATAAAAAATACTGTACATATAATAGGTATACTTTAATACCTAATGTATACTTTATATTTTATTATATTCTTCTACGACTTCCTGCAATTAAATTTTTAAATTCATTAATAACCAGTGGTGGTACAATTTACATGTATGATTATAAAACAAATAGCACAAAAACGTTACATTACTGTTATTTTATTTCTGTTAGCCTTATTGTTTTGGGACGAAACCACTGTCACTTTCGATTTTTAAATAGGAACCCGCATTCGAAATTCCGTAAATAGACATTAAAATAAATTCTGGCGTTGATATTTTTAATTTCCGTCATCGTTCTGTATAGTATTACGTACATCTGTTTTAAAAACAACAAACACGTGTTTATCGACATTACGGAAAATCTGAAAAAATAACCGCCGGGGTGTTCCCCATTATTAAGAGAACCACAAGGAAAATAAAAATAATGCGTACCCAGCGCAACACAATTGGCAAACATTTACAACCAGAAACCAGGAGCTGATGACCCGAGCACGATTTCTGGATTGGAAAGTTGTCTTTGCGTGCAGAAAAAAAACGCATAGGAAAACTAATATATTCCTTGATTCGCTCAGAATCTCAATTCCTACGAACGATTAATAAAGTACTGTTATTATTATGAAAAATGTATTAAACAATACTTACGGAAAACGTTTTTGGAAATATGTTGCGATGGAATAAGTCCGGTTTAGAAAAAAAGAAAAAAAATTGAATAACGCGTAATATTTTTCATATGATATAATATCGCCTTTTCGTTGTTGTGCGCTTGATAATTCTTTCGCGAAATATGTGTGTGTGAGAAGAAGACGATAAAACGACTTATCCCGCGAATAGTTTTGTACAGTGGCATTTCAAGTATTTTTCTAAGCTTTTTATTGCTCTGTATATACGATAAAAAAAAAAAAAAACCACGTGAAATGTCAAACTGCAATTCATATAACTCGCGCGTAACGTCGGAAATTGTCGAGGTATTTGTTTGTTTTCAATTTCGCGTTTACACACTGCGCACTGCAATCGCGGATTCTGAATCGAAGTTTTATTAAATATTTAAACTACAAAAAAAAAAAAAAAAAAATGTAAATTTATATATATGGTATTTGTAACGAGCCAGGACGTTTGTGATCGGTTCGTTATCATAAAATGTACACGTTTGAGTGCAGTTCAATAGATTGTAGTCTATTTGGGTATTGCGTTACAACACAATGGCTTTCGTAATAACAGTATAGATATATACGCATTAGTTAACGAAGTCGGGGTAACATTTACCGAGGGGTCGTAACTACGAACATGTTATAATAACGGTTAAAACCAGTAGGAGTCTGTTTTGTTGTCCGGCAACAAGTAATAATAAAATACAACGAGGTTTTTGTACATTCCTCAGGGACCGCCCGAATTACAAAGCGAAAGGCAACGGTAGGCTGACGTAAGCGTGATTTACACACATCAGGCGATGGACGGGAGAGGCAGTCGTTTTTTCACGGAGCGCGTGTGAATACGGCAAAGCCGTGAGGCGGCGGGGAAATGATTAGGTTTATCACGGAGCGCGCGTATAAATACGGCAAAGCCACGAGGCGGAGGGGAGAAGAGCTGCTTTATCACGGAGCGCGCGTGTAAATACGGCAAAGCCACGAGGCGGTGAGGAGAAGAGCTGCTTTATCACGGAGCGCGTGTAAATACGGCAAAGCCGTGAGGCGGCGGGGAAATGATTAGGTTTATCACGGAGCGCGTGTAAATACGGCAAAGCCGTGAGGCGGCGGGGAAATGATTAGGTTTATCACGGAGCGCGTGTGAATACGGCAAAGCCGTGAGGCGGCGGGGAAATGATTAGGTTTATCACGGAGCGCGCGTATAAAAACGGCAAAGCCGCGAGGCGGGGGGGGAGAGAGGTAGCTTTTTGTCACGGAGGCGTTCGTTGCAGTAGTGGTGTCCGTGGACTGCGCGGGCCGCCGCTGAATGGCGGCGTGTCGTTGCTGTAACAACGAAGAAACCGGAAAAAATAAAACAATACATCGTTTGCATGCGAAAATAATTAGAAGATACGGTATGACGCCGGATTTAAGAGAGGGGACGGGCGGGCGATTATTATTTTATTCGCAGATTACATTTGTAAAAACCTTATCAGCTCATCAGGTAGGTATGTTGGACGTCGGTGTGTACATTAATTATGCTACAGGATGATTCCTACACACGTTTCTCACCGCGTCAGGATATTAAATTTATTTTGTACGTTTGATGTTATTTTGATTATTATATAACTTACACAATAATTATTATTCCAACGAAATTCCGTGTGAAGTTTCGCTGAATCGAAATAGCCGTGTCGCAAACAGTGTTGTAGCAGTTTCGCGGCGCAGACACGTGTCTGGAATTATGATTCGGTAGGAAACTCGTCCAACATTGTTGTACAAACTTTTACTACTTTGATAAGAATACCTACCCGAAATGTGCAGCTTATTTATTTTAGGCGTGAAATCTCTTTATTACTGTGTTTATGGTGTAGTTGTTCATAACGCTCATACTTATACAGCGGGTAGGTTATGTATTCTTTATAATCTCTACCATCTGGTCCTCGGAAATTAATCGAGTTTATAAAGAAAAAGAAAAAGAAAAGAAAAAACACATTTGATCGAGAAAACCATATTGCGTGCCTATAAAGGTTCGAAATTCTACGCTCTTTTTGATTTTTAACATTTACCGCGTCCGAAAACTATTTAAATTAGTTATAGGTACATATATATATATATATAGAAAAAAAAAAAACCCGACCATTGGAAATGGAAAATACCACCCGCCTCTAATGGGATTCCAAAACGATGTAAACGAAACTTTCGCAGGCGGTGTACACTTTTTTTCATTTACTCCAGAAAAAATTGTTTCGCCCTTATTGTTTTTACACTGCGGTTTCTCATTAAAATACACTTACAGCACTCGTGTTGGTTGTATAATTAATGTATTTTTTTTAGTAGAAATCTAAAAAAAAAAAACATATGGAACTATATGAACTCAACTTATAGTGTATAATGCGCGTTTCATACGGTATTTACGGATTAGAAAAATCGAATATTCAAATTGATTTTAACTATAATACGCGTACTGTTTTTGAGCCGCTTGTTCTCGGATGTTCTGAGGTGAAAACAAAAAAATTCCGAAAAAGTTTACGATTTCCGGGACAGTGAACGTTTGCACGTAATGTTGTTCGCCCTCCGTGTTTTATTGTCGATCAACAATTTGTTATTGATAAATTACCGTTTATCATAATTCATAGCGGCGGGCCATCCGAATATCGCGTTGGCCGTAAACACGATCGAATTCGTTCGAGCGTAATTTGTTTGTTATTATTATCGATTTCCGGATAAACCGTCAGCTAGGCCCGGCGATTGCGGCCATTATACGTGTACACTATTATTGCAATGCTATGATTGTAGTCTGTATAATAATAATAACAACAACAACAACAATAATAATAATAGTCGATTCGTCGGAAAAATCGCACGAGCAGTCGCGCGGAATAACGCGTATTATGTTATTGCAGAAATGGAAAAAGTTTTCAAAGTCGAACGGTTCGTGCTTTCCCCCCCCGTTTACTATTATCGGGAAACTACGGCGATTGTACGGAGAAAATAGCCGTCGCGATACGCGCCATGAAAGGCGATAAGCTTTCGGAACGAAACCCCGCGCCCGACGCGACTGTGGCCGTAAACGGATGGCGCAACAGTACACGCTGCACCGCGCTACGTACGGGTTTTGCGGCGCGACGGGTTCGGAGCGGGTAAACAACGGCGGACTGATTGCGGACGATTCGCTCGCTGTGCGTCGGCGACGGCACTCGTCTCGCGCCGCGACACGCCGTGATACGCGTAGACGTGTGTTATGCGACCTATCCGACGGACTTGTTGTTACGTTGTTTGCGCGCTGCAGGCTAACCGCTCGGACGGATTACGGGCAAACGCGCCGGAGACGGGCAGCGTTTCCGCTACGTAACTGTAATGTGTATTGAAATGAAAACGTTGAGTCGGCGTCGAAACAATTCGACCGATGTGATTGTTTGAGGCCACGGCGAAACGGAGCAACGACGGCGCGAGCGTTAGCATTCATTGTTGAACGGGGGGGGGGGGGTGAAATTGTTGACGGAGATCAACGACGCCGCAACGAGGTTTAGAAGCGGCGACTGGCCCGCCCGGTGATTAATGAAGACCCGAGTCTCCTCTCGAGACGGTACGGACGGCGGCGTGCGTGCTGCGGGGAAGACGCGGAATCCGTCGGATTTGAACACCGAACGGTTCGACAACCGTGGTGTGCTTCACCGCGCCCGTTCTGCGATTCGATTTCTCCGCCCCGCATTGATCATAGGGGACCCCGCGAATAGGTCCGGCCGCGGGCCCCGTAGTCTTTTCGCGGGTAGCCGAGTCACGGGGAGGACGAGCGGTTGACGTCGACCGGAAGAAAAAACGAACCGATCCGCGCCTCCTCCTCCTCTCGAGGACCGCGAGACTCGCTCGCGTATTATTATTATGATATTGCGACACGGCGCGCGCACAAAGTCTCTTGCCCCCTGGAACTTCGCCCGTTCCCGTACGCGGCTGTACGCATAAACGTGTACGTTATGTATATATATGTATATGTATATATGTATGTATATTATATATGCCCGTGTATACACAGTGTTGTAGAGGCGCGCGAATTATAATAATACCTCGGGGTCGCTGGTTGAACACACGAGTACCTGTGCGCGTAGGTACACACCCCCTGTATACTTATACACGCGCGCGCGCGCGCGCGTGTATCTACGAGCATTACTTATTCAAAAGGCGCTCCTCGCGTATAAATGTACCGGCGTATTATATTATGTACACGACGCGACTCTGTATGTGTGTCTGTCTGTCTGTATATATATATATATATATATCTTTACGAGAGTGTATGTTATATATATATACATTTATAAATACGTACGTATATACCTGTACGCGAGTTTTAAACACGACGGCGGCGATGACGTGATAAATAATGCATGCGCCGAAGTTATCAATTTTATTCGTCCGATGTTCTCGCCGCCGTCGCCAAAATATTATTATTATTATTATTATTATAATTATTCGTCAAAGTTTTGATGCAAGCATAATATACAATATTATTATTATTATTATTATTATTTTAATATTATCATACACACCCACTACCTACAATGTAAAGTACACGCGTATAAAACTCAGCTCGTCGCGGTATATTATCATAAAAGTATAATAATATGATTAACTACAGGGCGGTTCTTTTCTTTTTTTTTTTTTTTCCACAATATACGCACTACACAATCGCCGGACCGGCGATTTTTCCGGGGTGATTCGAATAAAACTGATGATATTTTTCCAGACGAAAATTCAACACGCGTAACGCTGTACGGAATGTCGAGTATCGGCGGCGTGGGTATGGCGGGTATAGGGCACGGGAACCTGTTCGTGTAAATGAGCCATTTGTAAAAAAACAAAAGAACAAAAAAAAAAAAAAATGCGAAACCGCGATTTTTCAAAGAGACGCAACGGTTAAGATAAAAAAAAAAAACATACCGCGGTACAAAAAACGACTGATATATTTACTAAGCAATTTCTTTGGTAGGCGCGTGTAATCGAATTTTAATTTATATTTTACGGGTCTAGAATGTCTGGATATTGACGCATTTTCCAAAGAGCCGCAGATTGCATGTTAAGGAGCCGCAGGTTCCCGACCCGTACCGACCAATGCCGTTTACGATCGAGTTGTAACAAAAGTTTGGAATATTGACCGGAGAAGTGTGACGGCGGCGTTGTGACCGTCCAAAATGGATATTCTCCTTTCTTTTCGTGAACCTTTGTCTGGCCGTATTCAAACGGACGGTGAATAATTCAAATCGTTTACTCGTTTAAGGTATACGAAAATGGATCGGGTAGAGGTGAAAATCGTAAAATTGCGTCGAAAGAAATAAGCTTAAACGATTCCATATTAATAATACAGTACAATTGGAAAAAAAAAAAAAAATTAAAACAGAAACCAAAATCACTACGTGTAAAAATCCTCCGAGAATATTGCCGGATCGCGATAAAACGAATCACTCTGTATACAGCGTATAGACGCTCGTATAAACT